CAACTGTGCAGGGGTGCTCCAAATGACAAGAGCCTCCCTTGTGCTCCCTCTGAGCTTACTCTTGAAAGCAGACTCAGAGCCCAGAGTGGCCTATGGCTTGGTGGCAGTGTTAGATGGATGAGTCAAAGAAGGTGAGCGACAAAGGGGCTGGTCCTGAAGTGGGAGGAGGAGAGCACTGTAGGTAAAGGTCATGGCTAAGTAGAGCTCCTCCCGTGGTGGGCAGGAACTCGGCTGCTGGAAGAACTGCACTGTGGTCCTCATGTGGCTTGAAACTAGGCAGAAGAATATGTCAGTCAGCATTGTGTTGCCATGACAAAATACCTGAGAAAAACAACTTAAAGGAGGAAAGTTTTATTTTTGCTCATGGTTCCAGTGGTCACAGTCCACAGTTGCTTGTCCCTATCACTGTGAGCATGTGGTGAAGCAGAGCATTGGGGCAGGAAGTCCATGGTGCAGCAAATCTGATCACCTGGTGGTGGCTGGGAAGCAGAAAGAGTGAGAAAAGGGGCTGGGGACAATATACACCCTTCCATGGGATGCCCCAGTGATGCCCCAGTGACCCGTTTCCCCCACCCAGGTTCCCCCCTAGAGTTTACACCACCTCCCAGTAATGCCATAAAATGATGGCTCCGTCAGTGCATTAATCTAGAGCCCTCCTGACCTATCACTTTCCCCAAGGCCACCTCTGCATATGGCTGGCTTGGGGACCAAGTATTCAGTACATGAGCCTGTGTAGACATTCCATATCCAATCCATAGCAAAGAGAGACACAGGGTTTTGGGAGACTAGAGCAATACATTCAGGTTTTATTCTACAGCCTGGGAAAAGGTTAAACAGGAGCATTAGGGGTGATGTTCTGTAATTACCAACGGGGTCAAGGGTCAAGGTGACTGATGTGTGACGCTGTCTGCTTCCTGGTGAGCCTTACATCTGATTGTCCTGTTAATTGACAAGAAGGGTGCATACATCTTCAGTTCCAGTTATGGAATATCGATTCCTTCTCTTCTTGCGGCGTTTTCCTATAGCTGTAAGCCCTGTTCCAAGCTGCACGCTCAGGTCTGAGAGGGACGTCTCTGTGTAGAGCCGACGCCCTGCCAGGCCTCTGGTGACCTCCTGGGACTTGGGTTGGCTTCCCTAGGCAATGGAGCCGGGTCAGCCTTTCATGCCTGTGTCTTCATGACGGTCCCCAGCCGTCCACCCTCAGCCTGCATTTTGATATATAAAGTGCATTAGGATGGACTATTTCTCCCCTGGTTCTGACAATTTCCATTTTGTAATAGAATGATTTTAGATGCAATGTGTGTCTTTCAAAGGATTTGCTGAGCTTCTTCAACCCGTAAATTTATCTTTCACCAAATCTAGGAAAATTAGTATGATCATTTCTTAAAGCATTTCCTGCCTCTCCCCTCCTCTCTCCTCCTGGGACTCAGTTACATGTGTGTTTGGTCTTTGAGTATTCCTCCTGTATATCTCTGATGCTCTGCTTAATTTTTCCCCAATACTTTTTTGTTCTCTTTTTCAGGTGACATAATCTCTGTGGCTCTGTCCTCAAATTCACGAACGCTCTCTTTTGCCATCTCTAGCCTGCTATGATGTCATCCCCTCGGTGTTTTATTTTGGATGCTGTATTTTTTACTTCTGGAATTTCTACTTGGTTCCTTCTAGAATTGTTCTTTTTTCCTCTGCTACTTCCTCTTTTTCTTCATTACACGAGTGGTTTCTGTCATGTCCAGGTGCAATAGTGGCTTTAAAATCCCCGTCTGATGGCTCAGCATTTGGGTCTCCTTGGATTGGTTCCCGCTAGCGGGCTCTCTTCTTGTCCGTGGGGGGGCATTTCCTGTTTCCTCACAGAGTGATTCTGGATTGTGCCTAGCAAGGTGGCTGGTGTATGGTGACACCTGAACTACGCCGTGCCCCTGCACAGGGTGTGGGCTGCTTGTGTGGCTCCTGCTCTGTCCCCCTGCAGTGGGTGGTGGCCCCATCTTGCTCAGTCCCCCGGCCTGTGTAGGGCGGCTCAGGATCTGCTCACGTGCTCGCGAGTCATTTGGGGCCTGTCGGAGATTTTGACAGTATGAGCCCACAGGGCTTTGGAGCTGCCCCTGAGACCTTCTGTTTTCAGATGTGTCCTCTCTGCAGCTTCTGTCCGGCCCCTCCTCCACTGCCCTGTGCTTTGGGGCATTCTCCATGTCCTTCTGAGATCGTGCTCCCTGTGTGTCCCGCATTTACCGCTGTCGTTTGTGATGCGCTTTGGATACAAAGCAAACATGGTTTGTGGGTGAGTTGGCTGAAGGAGGCCAAACAGTGGAACTGGGATGCCCTACATTTTGGGATAATCAAGGGGAGGACGGCTTGGATTCATTTTTGAGCTCAGGAAGACCACACGCAGGAGGAATGTGTCTGGCTGCAGAACAGAGGCTGTGGGATCGGGCTGAACAGCGTAGGCTTGTGACCTTGGAGATGCTGTCTAGATAGTCACCTGGAAGTGTCAGACATTGGCTGGATACTTAGAACCTGGAGCTCGCGGTCTAGAGTGTCACCAGAGCATAGCTGGTACCCGAACCCGTGGGACCAAGGGGCTTTCCCAGGGAGGATGGAGCTGGGGAGAAAGGGGTGCTAGGGGGCGCTCTGAGGCCCTGTGGGGTGCAGAAGCCAAGCAGAGGAGGAACAGCCAGCAAAGAGTGCCCCTTCACCAGCTGAGGATCTGGGCCACTCCTGGAGGGAGCGCTTTCAGCAGGTCAGTGCTGTTGAGAAGCTGGCCAAGGCGGGGACAGAACGGGGATTGGGCAGAGGAGAGACCCCGATGATCCTTCTCATCCACCTCCCTGGGGGAGTGGGAGAAATGGGCAAGGCCACGCACAGCCCCTGGATCTGTGGATGGAGGTGCTGGCTCTCAGGGCCCTGGTGGTCTCGGCTGCAGGCTCGGCTGTGAGCTGTGTGCCCACGGAGCACAAAGGGACCACAAAGGAACCACGCAGTCAGTGTGGTGCATCCCGATGGTGGCTCCTCCCTCCTGCGGCAGGAGACGGTCCACCTGCAATGTGGCCCCTACCTGCTCAGACACCTGGAAAGAAGCCTGTGAACACCAGTGGGCATCTGCTGTGCGCCTGCGGGGACCAAGGACATCCTGGTCCACAGTCCCTGGCAGTTGGCTGGCTGCCCTGTAACCCTTGGCCATGCTGATAGTAGAGGATGGATTCTGAGCGGGGCTGGGCCCCCCGCCTGCTGGGAGCCGCCTTCTCCGTGGGCCTGGCTGGAGCTTGTCAGGCTCAAGGTTCTAGGGAGAGAGTCCTGGGTTCAGAGTGCGGTCTGCCCAGAGAACCTGAATGGTCCACACAGTCAGGACCTGATGGCGACCCCCCCTGGCTGGGTCTCTCGCTCAGCCCGGTGCCTCTGGATCGGGGACTGGCATTCATCACAAGGGTGCTCACGGACAATACCTCTGGGAGGCCTGTTCTCGCTGAGGCCGACTGTATGTCAGGGCAGAGCCCTCTGCCTTGGTTCAGGGCAGGCTGCCTTGGCAATCGGGCATTCTGGAGGGCACCCCAGCCTTCCCAAAACAACAACCAGAGCGTCAACGACCTGAGGCTTCTACTTTCTCACTTAGCTGGGAAGCTAGCACCGGCTGCCGTCACGGGTGGCTTGCAAGTTTGCAGCTGGCATACTGTGCGCGGCCGTATGCCTGTGCTCCTGGGTCCTCTGGTGGTGCCCACGCCCTGGGGCTGGTGCCACCTGCAGAGTCCTAGATGGGGCTTGGCCCACCAGGCTCCCTGCCTCTACCTCAGGGCTTCTGTCTGCTCCAAGGTGTGAAATAAATACACTTGGCGGCCACCCAAGTGTAAATTGCAGCCATCAGTGTCACTGAGGGTCTCTCTGGGACGTTAGGACGATCCCAGTAATTTCTAGGTGTGTGAACCGGCTGGCTGTCATGCGGGATCTCAGTGGCTCACATCCCATCCCCCATCCCCTCACCCCGGAACTGAGCCTTGTCCGTATCTGGAATTCCTAGAGGGCTCACTGGTCTTGATCTCAGGGCTGACAGACCCACCTGTAGAGCACAAAGGTGGGTGACTTCTACTCGGTTTGTACTCGCCCACAGGAGTCGCTAGCCCACCCTGTAGCATCCGAGCACTAAAGTGCTCAGGTCCTAGGGAAGGCCATGTGGGGCCGGCCAGCGCTTGGGACACCTTTCCCCAAAGTCAGCCTTTGTGCCAGGCACCTTGAGCTGGTCTTGGCTCCAGCTGTTCTCCCAGCTCCGTCCCATCCAGGTTCCATTCTTGTCCTTTGCATTCAAAGTATCCCTGCAAACAAAGTAAATGGGAGCAAGTCTGTAGGGCCTTCCGTTATCAGGATAGAGCATCGGAACCCCTTCCGCAGGAGGGAACAGTTTCTAAAGCCAGCTTTACGGTCTAGCCTACCCGGGCACCGGCCAGGTCCCCTTTCCTAACACAGTGTTTGAGGTGACCTTTCCGTTAATATTTTTACAGTGCTGAAAACCAGTGCTCTTATCAAGGGGTTAATTCCTTTCTGAAATATTTGCTTAGTTGATTTTCAGGAATCTCTACGTAGGAACCTGGCGATGTATTTCTTTCGCCCTGTTGGTTGTGGAATACTGCAGCCCAGTGAGAACCAACCCCATTGCAGCTCCTAGAACTGAACTTCAGCCACAGTTGAATTCTTTGTGCTCAGGCTGAGACTTGGCAAGGCCGGCCAGCGGTGGCTTTTGTTCCACGTGGTCATTGTAAGCTGGCTGTGCTCACTTCCTGATAGCGTGAACTTCCACGTGTCAATGACGAGGGTCCACGGTGGAGCAGAAATCCCTGTGTGTGTTTGCGGCTGAGTTCAGACTGTCCCAGCTCCCTCCCTCCGACTTTAGAAGGCGTCTCCTGTGAGGCGAGGGGCAGTCTTTTGCTGGAACCCAGGGGGTTCCTGCCCGGCTGGTAATGTTGTTAGATAAGGTGTCCAGGAGCCTCCCCTAATGCTGACCACTCTTCAACATGCAGATCAAAGAGTACGAGAAGCTGGACAACGAGGAGGACCGCCTGTGCAGGAGCCGGCAGATCTACGACACCTACGTCATGAAGGAGCTGCTGTCCTGTTCCCACGTAAGCCGGAGCTCCTCCCGGAGCTGCGCTCTGATCAGTGTGAGAGGGAGTGAGTGGTGGGTGGAGTTTAAGAACACAGATGCTGGGCTGGGGATGTGGCTCAAGCAGTAGCGTGCTCACCTGGCATGCATGAGGCCCGGGTTCGATCCTCAGCACCACATACAAACAAAGATGCTGTGTCCGCCGAAAAAACTGAAAAATAAACATTAAAAAATTAAAAAAAAAAAAGAACAAAGATGCCAGGTCAGTGTGTTGTTGCACACCTTCATCCCAGGGGCTCTGGAGGCTGAGGCAGGAGGATGGTGAGTTCAAAGCAGCCTCAGCAACAGTGAGGCCCTAAGCAACTCAGTGAGACTCTGTCTTTAGATAAAATGCAAAATAGGGCTGGGGATGGGTCTCAGGGGCTGAGGGCCCCTGGGTTCAATCCTCGGTACCAAAAAAAAAAAAAAAAAAGAGCTCAATGCCTGTATTCTGTAGTCTGCCCCCTGGAAGATCCACACGGTGCCGGAGGATGTTCCCAAAAGCCAATTCTTGCTCTGCAAAAAACTGAAGAACTAAAATTCCTAGTTCATATTAATTGAAGAAAAAGTCTCAATTCCAAACTTTCCAGAGAAAATTCAGCTTTGTTATTTTTAATTGCACTATCTTTTCATAAATAGGCTAATCAAATATTGAAAAGTATAAATCTTAAATAGCTTCAGTGAATTAACAAGGAGAATTGTGATTATTTTCTTAGTTTTGTTCATGAATAGTTAAATATCAGTTGGAGTAAATGTTTTCCTTGTAAATCAGATAAGCAATCTAATTCAGCCATTAGGATAAACTAGGTTCTCAGGAAATTATTTCACCAAAAGTAAGTGGAATAATTAATAATGAGAATTTGCCAGGCGCCGGGCACAGTGGTGCATGCCTTTAATCCCAGTGGCTGGGGAGGCTGAGGCAGGAGGATCACAAGTTTGAGGCCACTTTCAGCAACTCAGTGAGACCTTGTCTTAAAATAAAATATATTAAAAAATGCCTGTGGATGTGACTCAGCAGCTGAGTTCAGTCCTAGTACCGCCCCCCCTCCCCCCAAAAAAACCCTTTTTTAAAGGAATAGACTGACAGTCCTGGCCTCCCCCATTCAGTATAGTAGCCACTGGCCATGTGTGGCTGTTTGAATTTGTTAAAATTATTTAAAATCAGATGGGATTAAGAATCTGATTCATCACTTCCTCCTGAGTCACATTTCAGGTGCCCACAGCCCCATGTGGCCAGAGGCTCCCAGCGTGTGGTCAGGCAGGAAGCCCCTTGCACAGCCCTGCCCTGGCACCGATCTGCTCCAGCCTGCTGCAGGGAGCTGGTCCGGGCTCTGCAGACCTGGAAGAGCTGCGGCTGCAGGTGGCCTCTCCGGCAGCCCACGTGGCCTTGCTCTTTGCACCCACCTGCTTTGATGGAAGGAATTTCTGAGTAGGAAATCTCCGGTCCATGCCTTGCTGCTCCTGGAAGGCTGAGCCCCAGTGAAGGCCAGATGTTCTCGGAAAGCCGCGTGAACTTGGTTTTCCGTGGCTAGCGGGGTTTTAAGCCCCAGGAGGTGTTTTTTTAAAGCTCTTCTTACTGAGCATTGTTGCAGAAGACGCAGGTAAAGTTTGGGGGGCTGCCGTCTGTGGTTCCCGCCAGTGGGAGCTCCACTTGCCCAGCTCCCCCTGCCGTGGCTGCAGTCAGAGCCCCGTGAACTCAGAGCCTCTGGCCACCGTCACTAGGCTTTGTAATGCTGCATTTGATTTTTAGGTGAGTGTCCATGTGTCGTTTGATGTAGGAGAGGGTTTGTGTTTTTAGAAGTCCCCTATCGGCAAGCGAGGAGACTCAGCCAGTGGGTGTAGCAGCTGTGCTGTTCCTGACACGTCATTAGCCCACTGACCTTGACCTCCCGTGGGGGTAGCTGTGCACTCAGGCCCCTGTGTGCTGCCACGGCTCTGGGAACCCTGCATACCCGAGGGATGCACAGGCGTTGATCGGCCTCCACCCGGGACGCAGAGTTTGGGGAACACTGGTTGGTGTAATTGCACAGATTGTCGCTAAGCGATTGGGGAGTTCGACTCTCTGTTGTGGTATTGTGTGCCATCGAGGTTCCTTACATATATGATTATTCAAAATCACTGTCTTTGATTTTTCAAAAGCCATTCTCCAAGCAAGCTGTGGAACACGTACAGAGTCATCTGTCCAAGAAGCAAGTGACATCGACACTCTTTCAGGTAAGATAGAATTGCTTCAAGGTAAAGGCACTGGATCCGCGTAGCAGTTGGGCTCTGTGACATCGCTTTGGCGTGTGTGCGTGTGCAGTAGAGGAGAGCCTGCGAGACCGTGTCCTCCTGGGCCCGCTGGGCTTAGTGGCCCTTGCCTTTTCATTGAGATGGGCGCCTCCACCCACGGGCGGGCTGCACTTCCTGGAAAAGAGAAGTGTACCCCGGAGATTTCTAGTAGCATCCCATTCTAGAAGTCCACCCGGGTAAGACACTGGAGAAGAAAACTCTTCCACGTTTGATATTTTGAGACCTGGGATGGACAGGGACTTCACAAGATGTGTCCTGATGGCCCGGGTGTCGGTCCCTGCAGTCATCCCCCTCCTGGTTAAATGGGATTTGCTTTCAAGAATCAAGGGGGAATCTTCAGGGGCCCTGGAGTCACACCTGAGGATGTCCTTTCCCTTAGCCACTCATAACACACGACACAGCTCCATGTTAGATGAGGAGGTTAGGGAACTGGTCCCCTATCTAGACCTGGGTGTCGCTGCTGTGGGGATGGAGCGGCCCCTCCTCCCCAGAGCCTGGGCGTCCTGTGGGTCCTACAGAGGTGGCAGGTGGTTTGCAAAAACAGTCCAGTTCTCAAGTGGATAATGTATTTTTATATTTCTATGAATTATAATAAATGAAAGAAGTAATGATTTTCATAAATGAAAATATTTTTTCCTTTTCTTGGATGTTTCAGTTACAATGAGGTAAGTGGATGTTTGATTTGTCACCTTTTGATAGGATTTATTCATTCAAAATGAAGTTGATTATTCTACAGAGAAAACACTAATGTGGCCCTTAGAGCATGAGGACAGTAACAAATTGTGTGTCATCCTTCAGTCAAAATAATTAGACGTCCCTTTCACAAAAGGTAGGCGCCGTGTGCACGCGCCAGGGGGTTCCAAGCTCAGGTTCTGGAACTGGTGAGTGGGCTGGGTTTTGGCCCCAGGGCTGCGACCGCCTGCTCCTGTTTCCCCGTCTGTGAGGGGAGGTGGCCAGGCTGTCTCTCAGGGGGTCTTGAAGATTCTGGGAAAGGTCGCTTTTCCCTTGGCCTGCCCCCCCAATTCCCCCCAAATGTCAGCTAGGACCAGGTCCTGCAGCATCTGCCCCGTAGGTCTGTGTGTCTGCTCTGTGCCGTCTCCGAGGCGTTTCCTGTCAGAGTCTCAGTCTTCAGACAACTCTGCCGCAGACAGCTCTGTCGTCACAGGGTGGGGGCTCTGCTGTGCCTTCCCACAGAGCCTGTCATCGGTTCCCATAACCCTGAAACACCTGAACCTGCCTGATTCAAGAAACAAAAAGAGGTTCGTTTAACTTGGTGGTTAGATTAGAGGTCAGAAGTCCAAGACTGGACACCCTGTCAGCAGCCTCGGGTGGCCCCCGTGGCTGTGTCACATCAGGCGTGTGGCATCACGGCAGGAGGGGTGCAGGAGGGAGAGAGCACAGGGAAGGACAGGAGGGGAGGGGGGCTGCTTCCCATGGCACCTCTCGGGAGAACTCACCAGAGCCCCCAGAACTGCCTGAGTGCCCCCAGAGGGCAGCGCCCGTGACCTCGCCTGCCCAGGTCCATCGATTTCCCGTCCCACATGGAGGACCAGGTTCCAGCCAGTGGCCTCTGGGATACACTCAAGCCGTGGCTTTTCACCCAGGTCAGCTTGTCCAGGTGAGATAGGAAGGTCACCTGGGTTCCTTTCATACCCTCGGGGACACTCATTCACAAGCTTTTCTTCGGCCTGTCTTTTTTACAACACTTTACTAATTTGTTGGGTTCACTAAAAACGGACGAGTGTTCTGGTGAAGCTGATGTGGCAGGTGGCGTTCCCATTCCACAGGTAAAGGGGACGTTGCATTCATTCCATCGTGTCGATCAGAGCGTGGCGATGGAGCGTAGACAGAAGTGACGTTTGGGCGTTCCGTTTACAGATGTGCCCCCGCCCATCACGTGGGTGGAGGTTCACGTTACACAAAAATGTTCCGAAAGTCAATTCAAAATGCTTTTTATCAAGTTCCCTTTGTCCATGAAAATGACTTTAGAGATGAGTGTCACAGAGGTATGTTGGGTGGCAGCAGCCGAGAGGGGTCCTGGCTGGTGTTCAGATGTCTGAGACGTGCCAGGCCCCGTGCTCTTGGCAAGGGTCTTGGGTTTACTCAGTTCTCACGGTGGCCTCGCAAAGCAGAGGTGACTCACCTTCCCCAGATGCCCGGAGCTGAGGACCAGGGAGTTGCGCCGTTGCTGGCAGCTGGACGAGGCTCCTGCCCCGCTGCCCGGCTGTCCGGCGGCTCCTTCTGCAGCAGGGTGGTGGCCGAGAGGTCCTGGAGCCTTCTGTCTTTCACAGGATTGATGGGAAGGGGGAGAAGTTGGGTGGAATAAGAAAGCAGAGTGCCAACTGGCCAGTGTTCCTGTGACTAGAAGCCTGCGGTGGCTGGAGTGTCCCAGCTCTGGGTCCCGCTCTGTCTGGGAGCCTCTGGGGCCTCCTGGGACTTGAAGGGCTCAGCTGAGATGGAGGTCACACGTAGACGTGTCCCTGGGGGCTTTCCGTGCTGGAAAGGACTCAGAGATGCTTCACTGAGGAGAACACAGTCCGTGTGGTTTCAGGGGTCAGTCTGAGAACAGCGGTAGCCCGTCCTCGCCCGCGTCCCCTGCCCAGCACAGCCTCCCATGTCAGCGCAGGGGGGCTCCCTAGAGAGCTCGGGGCTGGCAGCCAGGCCTGCCCGCCATGGCTCTCCCTGCTGGCGTCCGCTCCGTGTCTCTGCTCAGCCTCCAGGGTGCTCTGGGAAGACCCGGGCAGTGCTAAGTCTTGTCTTGGTCCACAGGTTCAGGTGTCAAGATTCCCCCAAAGACCTAGCTGACTTTTTTGAACCGTGAAGGGGGCCCTTGGTCATTTCTTGTTCCCCACTTGAAGTTCATCCACGAAACAGAAAAGTCTGTGCTGTTTATTTCACAGTGTGCCAAGGGCACAGGATTGGAGTAGATCACAGCTGTCCCACCCGAGGGCCAGCAGCCCTGGCTGTCACTTTGCTCAGCCATGAACTTGCTGGAGGCCTTGGGAATGCACCCCCCTCCCCCAGTCCTGGAGCCTCCGACAGCCAGAGGGGCGGGTTGGTTCTCCCTCCTGGTTCCCTTTAGCTCTGTCATTCCGAGGGGTCGAAAGCCCATCGCTGACACAACCGGACGAAGGCATTGAACTCTGTGGCTCTGTTCGCTCTGACTTGTGACGACTCAGTGTTCAAGCAGATTACGGAAGCTTTCTGCAAGATGTGCTACTTAACTCACAGGCCCGTGCGAAATGACCCCGTCGTTCAAAAGTTATCAGGAAGTTCAAGATGGTGACAGAGGAACGTCAGCCACCACCAAACTCTTCTAAGTGACATCCACCCAGCTAGTCCCTGTCACTTAGGAAGGGTCCGCTGCTGGCCACGCGCCACACGAGGCAGTAGGGACACAGGGGCCAAGTTGCAGGCCTGCCCCGTCCTGGTGGGCTCCAGGGGAGCTGCTGTGGTATAAGCCGTGCTGTCTGTGTGTCCGTCCTGGACAAGCAGCACCCCAGGAGTGCGCCCTGGGGCCTGGCCCTGTCTGGGGCTCACTGTCTGCCTTCCCTCTGGTCCATTCCCATTCACACAGCGTGGCATTTCTTCTCTGTCCTTTCCAGCCTTACATAGAAGAGATCTGCGAAAGTCTTCGAGGCGACATTTTTCAAAAATTTCTGGAAAGGTATGAAACTTTATGTATATATATGAATCCAGTATCGTAAGGGCGCGTGCCACTCACTCTACTCTGTCTGTGCTGTCCTTAAATGTGTGAGACGCGGCTGGGCCATGCTCAGTGGCAGAGCGTGTGCAAGGTCCTGGGTTCCATCCCCAGCACTGCAAAAAAACTTTTTTTTTAAGATGTGTTAATTTATTCATCCAACAGGTGTTTGTTGCTGTGACCGATGTGCCAGGCTGTTCGTCTGTTTCTTCATTATTTTATATCCTAATTTGGGGGTCTGTGTAGCTACATGTCCCTTTGAGTTTCAGGTCTTTAGCTGCAACATATCCTGAACTTTAAATAGAGCAGGGGACCTCGGGTTTAAAGCTGTCCTCTCAGGAGACCTTGCTAATGCAAGTGTGCCTGTAGCTTACTGGGTTGATTTGTTGGGTTCTGGAGACGTACCCCAGAATGAGGCGTACCCCCAGTGGGGCGTGCCTGGGCTTGATTCTCTTCAGGGCTAGGTGATGGGGTTTGTGATCCTGTACATCCTTGACATCCCCGGAAAATGGGTCCCTTTGGTCACTTGAGCTGTAGCGTGTGTTTGTCATAGAATTCTGGAGTTTGTCCTAAGAATGTGCGTCTCCTCCGCCTTTCCAGCCCCTTCCCAGCCAGCTGCAGTGTTTTGAGCAGGCCTCTGTGATAACATGCTCTTGGCATTGGACTTTCTAAAACCGAACCTGCATTCACACTGACCGCCCTTCCCTCCGTAAACCTGACTGATTTCCACGCAGTGGCCATGGCGATGGTGTCTCACGGCGGGAGCGGCCGTACAGCTGCTCAGAAATCGCACCCTGAGAACAAGGGCTGCTTTCTTACAGTCTTCTCTCCCCACCCTCGGAGAACTAAAACAATTTAAAAACATGGCTGTGTTGTCAGTCCACTGGGGTTTGGAGATAATTTGCCTGGAGTAGAGTCATTCTTCCAAATGAGGGCCCTCCTCTGAGTAACAGCAGAAACTTGGGCAGGACGCCGCCTAGGGAAACCAGGGGCCTGGGGCGAATCCGCCTGGGTGGCCGCCTGGTCCCCGCCATCTCCACAGCAGGTGCTTCTGAGAGCGACCTTTCCCTCCTGTTGGATCAGCCTTGCTCTGATGTGACCCCGGGAAGTAGGGAAAGTCTGGGAAGGTCATTAAGTGGCAGGAGGCTTCTCCCTGGTGTCTTGTCACTCAGCATGGTGACCGACCCTTCCCTCCCAGGCTGATATACATGGTCTGGTCCTTTATCCCGCCCAGTTTGCCGATCGGATGAAGCTGTGGGGCATGTCACGGAGCAGGCACCCTGCATGTCTGGAAGCGCTTATAGTTTGATGTAAATAAGTTGTTTTTGAAGTCGTTTTATCAATCCATACACCTTTTAGGTGTATTTCTGTTAGTGAATTCTCAAATTAAAAAAAAAAAAAAGTCCACATGAGGTCCTGAGTTTGAAGTTTGGGTTTTGAAAAGCACCTGCCCTCTAAGAATGCGGTGACGTGTCCTTGGGCACATTGGTGAAGGTGATTTCCCACCTCTGTGGGGTGGTGGGCAAGAGGGAGCCCTCAGCCCAGGGCCTGTCTCTGCCTCCTCCTGAGGAGGGCGGGTGGGGAGACCAAGGGGGCCTGGATCTGGAGGAGGCCAGTCTTCTCTGGTGGAGGCCCCTGAATGGAAACGGGGCCCCACCCTAGCTGCACCAGGCACTTCTGGGTCTTTAAAGTTGGCCTTCCCGAGACACTTTGGGGGCATCTGCAAGGACTTGGCTGGCTGAGGCCATGACGTGTCCTTCTGCCCCGGGGACTCATTAGGAATAATGAGTGCTTGGGTCTCGCTGCTGGAGCGAGCTGAGCCTGGACACTCAGGGGCCACCTGCGCCCCTCCAAAGAGGTGCATTCACAGTAGGTCCTGCCGAGTGGGCAAGACGTGTGCTTCTCTCTTCCCGGTGGGCCAGTCCTCTGAGGCAAGTTCCAAAAGGTGTCAGACCACCCGTCCCCAGCTCTGATCTCCAGTATTTGTGAGAAGAGGGAGGACAGGCCCATCAGACCGAGGGAGTTTGCGGGCCTGCTGTGGGGATCTCGGTTTGGGGGACACCCAGGCAGGGCTGTGCCCTGTGCACACACGGTGCTCTAGAGGGCAGCTTGGATGCCTCATGCTAATCCACCGCTTCACAGAGATGTTGGGAGGGTCAGAGAACATTCTGAAAAGTCACCTTCTATTCGCTGACACAGTTGCCATGGGATTGCAAAGAATTTTTTTTTAAAATATTTTTTCTAGTTGTGGATGGACCCAAGACCTTTATTTTATCTGTTTATTTCTATGTGGTGCCGGGAATCCAACCCAGTGCCTCACACATGCCAGGCTAGTGCTCTGCCCCTGAGCTTCAGCCCCAGCCTGCAAAGAATTCTTCTGGTTTTGATTTTTAGTGTGGATATTACTATCAGGTCGTTACCATATTCCTAAAGGATCCTCATTGCTAAAGGCCTATCCAGGCAGTCCCAAGGGAACCGAGCTCCTGGCTGTCTTACACGTTCTCCTGAGAGGACGCTGGGGCCTGCACTTGTACTTCAGAAGGACTTCTCCGTCTCCCCTCCTCCCTTTTCTCCTTGTTCCTCTATTGAGCCTAAGAGATGAGACCCAGCCCTCTCCAGAGCACTCTCTGCCTGCAGGAAGCCAGCCCAGCGCTCATTTCTCTCCTGTCCTTACTGATTTATTTGTGAACTTATCTCTGTATTTTTGCTGTGCCGGGATGGAACCAGGGCCTCATGCCTGCGGGGCAAGCACTCCCTGCTGAGCCGCTCTCGCCCCTTGCACAATCAGCGAGTGGCAGACACCTTCCAGACGCGTGGCTGCCTGCTAGGAAAAGCAATCTGGGGGCGCCATTGTGGGGTGGCAGTGGGGTGGGCGCTCTTCCTCCTTCCCGGGTGAAGACACTGGCCGAGCAGCCGAGGGTAATCGTGGGAGCATCTCAGGGCCCTGGGCTGAGGGCCCCTCTTCTCTTTGTATCTCTGGGAGCCATACTGAGTTTGGAGGAAGATGCTCTTGGGGCCATGGGTCTGGGCTCCAATATGGCTCTGCCCACTCTCAGGTGTGACCTTGGCCATTGGGTCCTGGGCGGCCTTGGTCTTCCCGGCTGGGAAATGGGGGGCCCTGAAAAGGAGGGAGGTGAGCAGGCCCAGCCCACAGGAACCTGTGCTCAGGTGTTTGTTGCTCTTAAAATTATTTGTAAAGTTTAATTTTTTGTGTCATTCAGAGGCTCATTGTCCAGTAAGGTAGCAGCTAGCCACATGCAGCTACTGGACACTTGAAGGGTGGCTGGTCTAAATTAAAATGCAAAAGACTCAACCAGCCACTGAAGGTGTGGTGTGCAAACAAGAATGTGGAGGAGCCCATGAGCAGTGGCCTCTTGATTCCATGTTGGAGTGGTAATGCCCTGGGTTATATAAATAATTAAAATTGAATTGCACAGGGCTGGGATATAGCTCAGTTGGCAGGGTGCTCCCTCTCAGGCACAAGGCCCTGGGTTCAATCCCCAGCACCACAAAAAATGAAAAATAGAAAATCCTACATGTGGCTTGTGTTATCTTCCTGTTGGAGAGTGCTGATTCCAATAAAAATCCCATCATAGTCTGTGATGATTGAAGGAGAGACATGGAGTCTTTTACTTTAATTGTGAACTAAAGCCACAAATGCCAGTGAAGGCTTTGTGAAAAAAAAAAAAAAAAAAAAAAAGCTGTTGAAGAAAACTTGCACTGGGTGGGATTGTGCATGCCTGTAATTCCAGTGACTTGGGAGGCTGAGGCAGGAGGATCACTAGTTGGAGGCCAGTCTCAGCAACTTACTGAGGCCCTGGCTCAAAATAAAAAATAAAGAAGGCTGGGCATGTGGCTCAGGGTTAAGCCCCTAAGTTCAATCCCTAGTACCCCCTACACACACACAAAAAAAATACTTGTGCTATTTCAGAAGTAACCCAAATAGTGCCGTTCCAGTGTATCTTACAACATTGTGCTATAAATCCAATTGTTTTGATATTTAATTTTTCAGTAATTATTTTTATATTCTCTTCTAGCGACAAATTCACTAGATTTTGTCAGTGGAAAAACGTAGAATTAAATATTCATGTGAGTATCATCTTTTTCTTTTTTCCTTCTTTAAATAAAAACTTGCCCTGGCTTCCCCTCGTGAGAAAATACTTCCTTCTGGGCCCTGCTCCCAAGGGGTCTCTGCCTGACCAGATGCTACCCTGCACTCCCGGGTTGTTGAAAGGCCGCCCTCCCACCCACTGCAGTGAGCCCTCTCTCATATTCATGCAAGAATGTGCTTATTTACGCAAGAAAGGATTTTTTTTTAGGCAGTAATTGACCCTTTGACAAAAATAGTAGTAAAACTCGGACCTCCTGCCTGAGGCGGCTTCCATCTTCCTGTCCCTCTCCCTTCTTAGGGCTCCTTTCCCTTCTCTTATTATGGGATGTAATACTGAAAGTTGGGCCTGCGCAGAGACGGTGACGTCATTACAGATGCAGGCTTCCTCTTGCCGTCATCGTGGAGGAGGGACGTGGTCTGGGCACAGGCCCTCCTGCCCCCCCCCCCCCCCCCGGGGTCTCCTAGCTCTCCGTGTCAGTGGGTCCGGGTGGCCTCTCATGTCACCTCCACGGTGCAGGGCCTTCAAGCCCCTCATGTTCTCTCATCCGTGAGCCTTCCAACGGGGCCAAGGAGTGGACTGGATTTTTTTTTTTTTTTTAAGATTTTTCCTTGGACAGCGCAGTGGAAGCGGGATTTGTTGTTTTGTTTTTTTAGCTTCCCCTTTACGTCCTGTTCCGTGGCAGGATTTAAAAAGCAAGAAGTGACACACATTTTGCACAATCCCTTGTCCCCCGGGAGCTCTCGTGCTGTCCCTGCTCCCCGGCTGACCTGGGGTCCTTGGGACTCAGCATCCACCGCGAAGCCGGGGCTGAGTGCAGGCTGGCCGGATGCGGGTGTGACATTCCGAGGGCTGGGGGGGACCCGGGAGACTCTCACCCTGAATTTGCCGGGTGAGATGAGCGGGGTTTGCTGTGCCCTCAGGTCCCTCACCCAGAGCGCAGATGCTCTTTCTGCTCTCGCGCTGTTGGCCGCAGCTGAGGTTCCTGCAGTGGGGACGCCCGTGACGGGGACAGTGCTGGTCAATGAGGCGCCTGTGTGAGCCTGGGGCTGGCCAGCCCTGCAGGAGCCCCTCGCTTCCCTGATGGGACCCACAGCAGCTCATGGCCCCTGCTGGGCTTCCCTGTCCTGTGCCTGCTGCTCTGAACACAGGTGCCCCTCCTGCAGACGGTCCCTTCCTGCCACAGCGGCTCAGTGCCCTTGGGCGTTCCCTGGGCTCTGGGCTCCAGGGTGGGCGGTTGCTCCTCCGGCTTTTCCTTCCACTAGGATGGCCACCCGCGGGTCAGTGTGCTGCCCTCTGAGGCTGCCCACAGCGGCCCCCACTTCGTCCTCTTCCCTGTGGCCTCCAGTGGGAGCCTGGTGCTCCTCGGAGGTGGCCTGGAGCAGTCGGGGACAGTCTCACCCTGTGCCCTGCATCCTTCAGCTTAGGGACCATCGCGGAGGTCAGGGGCTCCCGCATTAGACCCCAACTTATGTTTTTCATGAAAAAGAAGAATCTTTGTGACGACCTATCTTAGGCCATCTCACCTTGTCACCCTGTGCTCCGACTTCACAGTTGACCATGAACGACTTCAGTGTACATAGGATCATCGGACGGGGAGGATTTGGGGAAGTGTACGGTTGCAGGAAAGCGGACACTGGAAAAATGTAAGCCTTCCGTCTCCCCATATCTCACCAGAACCATTTTTCTTTTTGGCACAGAAAAAACGAATTTATTTATTTTTATTATTGATTTTATTTTTTTAAAATACACAACAGCGGAATGCATTACGATTCTTATTACACACATCGAGCACAAGTTTTCATATCTTTGTATAAAGTAGGTTCACGCCAATTCATGTCTTTATATGTGTACTTGTTTTTTTTTGCATTACAATTCTTATTACACACGTATACCATAATTTTCCATATCTCTGTTTGTATATAAAGTAGGTGGACACCCAATTCGTGTCTTCATAATGTGCTTTGGATAATGATGTTAATCACATTCCACCATCATTGCTAATCCCCTGCCTCCTCCCTTTCCCTCCCTCTCCTCTGCTCTGTCCATGTTCCCCCTCCCTACCCCACTATGAGTCAGCCTCCTTATATCAGAGAAAACATTCGGCATTTGTTTTTGGGGGATTGGATCACTTCACTTAGCATTATCTTCTCCAACTCCATCCATTTACCTGCAAATGCCATGATTTTATTCTCTTTTATTGCTGAGTAATATTCCATTGTGTATATATGCCACATTTCTTTATCCATTCATCCACTGAAGGGCATCTAGGTTGGCTCCACAGTTTAGCTATTGTGAATTGTGCTGCTATAAACATTGATGTGGCTATGTCCCTGTAGTATGCTGTTTTTAAGTCCTTTGGGTAGAGACTGAGGAGAGGGATAGCTCGGTCAAATGGTGGTTCCTTTCCCAGATTTCCTAGGAATCTCCATACTGCTTTCCATATTGGCTACACCAATTTGCAGTCTCCCCAGCAATGTAGGAGTGGACCTTTTCCTCCACATCCTCACCAACACTTATTGTTGTTTGTCTTCATAATAGCTGCCATTCTGACTGGAGTGAGATGAAATCTTAGAGTAGTTTTGATTTGCATTTCTCTAATTGATAGAGATGTTGAGCATTTTTTCATGTATTTGTTGATTGATTGTACATCATCTTCTGAGAAGTGTCTGTTCAGGTCCTTGGCCCATTTGTTGATTGGGTTATTTGGTGTTTTTTTTGGTGCTTAGCTTTCTGAGTTCTTTATATGCCCCAGAGATTAGTGCTCAATTCACCAGAACTATTAAGAGAATTCTATGCTTGGAACAAAAGGAAATCTCTATATAGAAATAGGGACGCCATGATCCCCTTCCTGAAGTGATGGATGGCAGAGGAGCCAGGTTGTACCTTGTTGAGCAGCAAAAATGAGAACAGGAAGCCTGACCACCCTGCCCTGGGGCTCATGGGACATGCAGAGCGCCCCCCAGGGGTCAGGCCAGGGAAGATGAGCGGGGCCCAGAGATGGAGAAGGAGCCGCTCTCTTCAGCCCCGTAAGACGGCCCAGTGAGAGACCCAGTGTGGGGTGGCCCAGCGCGTCAAGAGCCACGGTGGCTGGGCAGTTTGGGGTGGAGAGGGGGGAGCCCTGCTGAGGATGGGCAGCAATCAGGGCTCCCTCCCTCCCCTCAGAACCTTGTCCCTGGGGAGGGCATGTGAGCCAGCAGAAGGGCCTGGGGAAGTGAAGGCTGGGGAATGTTTGTCATCAGACAGGAGCGTGTTTCTGAAGCAGAGAAGGGTGGCACACGTTGGCCTGGGAGGGTGGCACATGGGAGCCTCGGGCCAGGTGGAGCAGAGTCAGGGCCAGAAGGGCTGGGTGCGGTGGCTCAGGTTTGTAATCCCAGCGGCTCAGGAGGCTGAGGCAGGAGGATCACAGACCCAGCCTCAGCAACTTATCAAGGCCCTGAGCAGCTCAGTGAGACCCTGTCTCTAAATAAAATACAGAACAGGGCTGGGGATGGGGCTCAGGGGTCGAGGGCCCCTGAGTTCAATCCCCAGTACCAAAAAAACAAAGAAACCAGAAGGAGCACTGGAGGTCACCTCATTCGGCACCCAGCTCCCTCTTGCCCTCGGCACAGCCCACAAGTTGTCCACAGCCCTGCCCAGATCTTCCTGTGACCGCTGCCAGCAGCTCTGCCAGGCCATCCTTCCTGTCACCAGGCGGGTTCCACAGTTGCCACGCTCTTCATGATTTGGGACTTGAATTTCCCTCCACTAGTTTGTGTCCCGGCCACCTTCCTGCCTTGGGACACTGAGTGTGAACTGGCACCCCCAAGTTGGAAGTCCAGGGAAGGGTCCCGGGTTGCACCAGGAGAGCAGGGTCAGGTCCACAGTTTGTGGCCTCTGTGCCTCCAGACCCTGGCAAATGGCAGTGACTTGTCAAGAGAATCCAACGCGGTTCCTCCCGGCTCCGTGCTGCCCCGAGGACTTTGGGTCCTACATGACATGTGTCATTTGTCGCTTGCTAGTTTCATTCAGTGGCGTTGGTCTTGTTTCCTCGCAGCAGCTTGTGGAGGTAGTTAGCATCTCTCCTAAGTCACTCGATGTCACACAAGCAGATTATTCCACTTGATCTCTTTGTCCTGAATAATTATTTCAGTTAACCCACAAGAAACCCCGAGGGCGAGGGCTCACACCGTGGCCAGGGCCTGGGCATGCTGGGCTCGTGGCTGCCCCCCTCTGCAGCAGACGGGGACCTCAGCAGAGGGTGGCCGCGTTGGAGAACTCCCTTCGTGAACACGAACCGTTTAAAGAACACATCACTCCAAGTGTCCCCAGTGTTCCCCTCCTAATGGAGCAGATCAGTGAGTGGATTCCTCCTGAGACGCCTGGGGAGGGGACCCGAGCACCAGCCTGGAGCCTTTCACTCCACCATGATGAGCTTGATCAGCCAGACATGAGGGTCTTCTGGACCCCAGCCCGCGGGGGCACTCGCACCCAAGCCCCGTGAACTAGCCCACCAATGGGAAACCCACAGTCACACACAGAGTTTCAGTCCTCGAGACACCCGCGAGGATGGGCAAATGTTCCCCGTTCCCTGGTAGCTTTCTGTAGCCCTGTGACAGAGGCCTCGGGTCTGCTCCCGCCTGTGACTGTAGGATTGGCCCCCAGGCAACGGGCCTGTCTCATTCATATGAGTTTGTTCCAAGGTCTCAAAAACCTTTAGTTGTCCACTCTTCTTCTCAATGGACTTTAACCAATGATACGCAAATCTGATAAGAAGAATCACAATAAGCTAGATATCAAGATTAAACAAACCAATGTAGGGTCCTTTGCTCTGCGCACCCTCATCAAAACCTGGCCACTCCTGGTGCAGTGGCACTTGACTGTTACCCCAGCAGCTGGGGTGGCTGAGGCAGGAGGATCTCAAGTTCAAAGCCAGCCTCAGCCACAGCGAGGCCCTAAGCAGCTCAGTGAGACCCTGTCTCTAAATAAAATACACAATAGGGCTGGGGATGGGGCTCAGTGGTTGAGGGCCCCTGAGTTCAATCCCCAAAATCCCTGCCCCTCCCCAAAAATTCCTGGCCACTGATGAATTCATAATTCCTGCCTGGTGACATGCCACATGCACACCGCCAGCCTTGCCCCATAGTTGGGGGGGGGGTGGGCAAAGCACAAACTTTATTCCTGTTCGTCTACTTTATGCATTAGTTAGCGGGGACTTCTGTCCCTGGGGCGATGGCGTGTCTTGCTGGATCCCCCGCCCCACATGCAGAGTTAACAGTCCTCCTGGGACCCCAGGCTGTTTCCCCTCTCCCTCGTACACATCGCCCAGGTCTTCGGAAGCCCTCCGCAGCCTGCGGGTGTCAGTCAGAGGCACTCGCGTGGCTGACTCAGGGTCTTTGTTTCCAGGTACGCCATGAAATGCCTGGATAAGAAGCGCATCAAGATGAAGCAAGGAGAGACGCTGGCCCTGAATGAGCGGATCATGCTGTCCCTCGTCAGTACAGGAGTAAGTGTCCCTCGTCCCCGGTTGCCTCAACATCTGTCTGTCTGTCCTGGGCCAGGACAACTGTCTCCTCTGTCTGATCATGGGGCGGGATGAGGCCTGGGGGGTCCCGAGCGTGGCAGTCAGGAGGGGTGACAGCCTTCCCAGAGCTCACGGGACACCTCGTGGTGCCACCTGTTCACGTGTCCGTGATATCTTGCATCACAGAGGATAGGAGCTGAGATGGCGGAGAATAATCGTGAAAGAAAAAAAAATCACTTGACAATAGTAAAATGACTGACCCAGGAGCACCCAGGGAGGGGCTTCCACCTCCACCGGCAAATCAGAGGGCGCGGCGGGGGCTGGCGGAGCCTGAGGGTCCTCTGGGTGGGCCCTGGGCTGCGTGGGATGCCTCCAGAGGCGACTTCATCTCCCCCACAGCCGGCTGCTTCACCGCCAGGGCCGTGGGCATGTCCACCCCACAGCACTCTCCCCCGTTTCACATTGTGTTAATAGGCCAGGCTCGGTTTTGGCGCAGCACTTGCGGAAATGACCTGTCACTCAGTGACCTCTCACCCAGTGTCGTCTTTATTTCCAAAGCAGCTTCCCATTCTGAAGGCTTTGTGTGAACTGTGTTGTCATCCATCAAAACCTTGGCTTTGCCAGGCGCGGTGGCGCAGGCCTGTAATCCCAGTGGCTTGGGAGGCTGAAGCAGGAGGATCCCAAGTTCGGGACCAGCCTCAGCAACTGAATGAATCCTTAAACAACTTAGGGAGACCCTGCCTCAAATTTAGAAAAGTAAATAAATAAAGAAGGAAAAAAGGCTGGGGATGTGGGTCAGTGGTTAAGCACCCTTGGGTTCAATCCCCAGAACCCAAATAAATAAATAAATGAAATGAAATGAAACCTTGGCTTTGAGGCCGGGTGTCCTCAGTGGCAGAGCACTTGTCTGGACGCACAGGCCCTGGCCCCCATCACAGTGCAAAGAAACCAACACACACGACACTCTCCCTCCCACCTTCTGCTTTAATTCTGTGTAAAGTCGACACTGTGTCCGAGGACACGTCCAGCAAGGCCTCCCCGGCAGCCTGTGTGTGCACATGTCCACTAGCCTGGCACCTGGCTGTGGGGAGGGGAGCGGGGCAGAGGGCGTGGGACGGAGTCTTCTGTGTAGCCCACCCGTGAAGTTAATGTGGGACACCCAGCCAAGCCAGCCGGTGTACACTCAGGGACACGTGGGGGCTTCTGGAGGTCACTGGATCTCATGCACAGTCAGCCTCACCAGAAGGAAGAGTCAAATTTAGTGGCTGATCAAAGAATCCCCTTCGCCCAGGGAGCCGTGAACCTGAGAGCCAGGGGGTTCGTTTCTTTGCCTGAAGGCTCTGGACGCAGGGCCAGCGCTTCCTTCCTACCAGTGCTTTGTGGGTGAAAGGTCTTTACTTATGGCCTGGGCTGACTGTATGGTGGGTCCCATTCTTCCAGCAAGAGCCTTAAGTGCTCTAGAAGGTCTGTTCCTGGAGCAAAGGAGCAGCCGGGTCCAGCTGAACCCTAGCCACCAGAGCTCCATGGCCCACAGCAGCTCCCACCACCTGCTCTCTCTTCCAATATAGGGGCTCAATCAGACTCACCTGGTGTGTGTGAGCACCCACTGGGTGGTGTGTGCGGCGCGAGCTCCCGGTTGCTGTGTGTGGGCCTTATCTGTGTCTTAAGTTTCAAACGTGCACCCAGCCGCTGCAGATTTTAGTAGTTATTAAAATACTCGTTTTTAATGAGCTATCTCCAAGCCAGGGATATTTATTCTCAAGGAAGCCTCTGGGGAAACGTTTTGATGTTGGAGAAACGTTAAGGACGGTGTTCATGTAGCATTTTAATATTTATTATATTCAGATGAGGGCGAATCTGGTTAAGAAGTGGTTTGATTCCTCCCTGGTCTGACCTTAAGGGAATCAATTTAAAAATGGGGTTATATGGGGCCGCTGCTTTGAGCTGATTCAAAAGAATTATTTATATTTTATTCAAATATTAAGCTGTATCGCTGTTTTTTTGAATTTATAAAGATATGATGTCACCTTCAGAGTTCCAGTAAAGCCATAGGGGATCTTATTTCCACAGTCAGAGGCCTCTTTTGTGAACTTTTGGTAATGCTTAGCTGAAATCCACCCTGTGGGGCAGAGCCCTGGGCAGCTGTGCCCAGGGTGTCCTGGTGGGGCCTGTGCTGCTTGGGCACCTGCCAATTGCCCTTGGGTTTGGTCCCCCTCAGCTTCCCCATTTCTCATGAGCACAGCCCCCCTCCTCCCCCTAATGAGGCGGTGGGAATCAGCCTTCCAGTTTGCTTCTCCCTGTTCCCATGGGAGGAAGGAAATGCGCGTGTTTGAGAACCAGGCAACGCACCTGCAGTTGTGCAGCGAATTCATGGAGGAGTCTTGTGGGCTTCCGGGAAGCCCCGTCCCTGCACCCCCAGATCCCCAGAGGGCTGGCCCCTCTGCTTGAGGCTCCTAAAACCTGACTTTTTTTTTCTTTTTCTTTGCCCTTATACTGCGTCAGGAGGGAGGTGACGCTTTTCAGGTGTCTTGGAAAGGTAGCTCATCGGGAAGTGTGGTGAGAGCTAAGGCCTACAGCCCAGGGCTTGGGGGGAGTGAAGGGTGGACACGGCAGCCTCGGGGTCCCCAGGAGGCAGGTGAGGGCACAGGGGCGGCCTAGGGATGTGCTCTTGGGAGACTGTGTTAGAGTTTGGTGGAGTCTGGGAAGGTCCAGGCTGAGGGCTGGTTGAAAGGGGGGCTCGGGGGAGCTGTAAGGAGGCTTCCTCCTGAGGAGCGGGGCACAGACGGGAACTCTGGAGGGGGCTGGCACCTTGGCTGGCTGCCAAGTTTCTCTGACCTCAGGCAAGTCGTCTGCCTTTTAGGGGCCCTGGCTTCTTGTCTTTAAAATAAAGGGGTCAGACAAGGTGTTGTTTAAAGACTCCTTCCTAGTCCAGTGGCCTCTGCTTCTAGCTCTAAAATTAGTCACTCTGCCCTTGTCTCAGGCCCTGCATTGGAGGGACCATATGCCATCAGGTTGAGAAATCCCCCCGGAAAGCCCACGTGTCCCCCTGGTGACGAGGGTGCAGTTCCCAGCTGGTGACAGGGTCCCCCACTTGTCTGCTCTGCAGTTGGATTGCTGTCACAGCAGGGCCAGAGCCCTCGGGCATCCCTGGGAGCAGGAAGTGCGATACCTGACGTAGAAGGGCAGCCATCTGCAGGAGGCCGTGGAAAGGCATGGAGGGACAGAGGTGGGCTCTAGGTAGGACAGGCGGCGGAAAGGACCCCGGGGGTTCCCGCAGAGGGACAGTTCTACCTAGCATGGAATAAGTCTTGAAATCAGAAGACCGACACCCTCTCAACAGAACTCTAAGGGAAACTGGGCCAACACAGAGTGAACTTCCCAGTTCACGCTGGAGTAATTTTCTCCAGAACATTTATGGAAATTGAGTTCAAGTGCCCGAGTCTTTAGCACCCAGGAATGTAGTAACTCAAACTTACCCAAATGCCCTTCTGTAGAGGTCTTCACAGTGCAAATTCTGTTTACCAATTATTTTGTGGGAACTTGAACATTTGCTTTGGAATTTAATAATATGCTGTATCTGTTAAGAAAGTGGATATAAATAGTCTCTGCCATTTAAAATTCAAATCACTTCAGGGGTGATTACATGCTGTATGCCAAGGATCTGGATAGATCTAGGGAGCATGGTGTGCTTTCCCAAGAAAACACGAGTGAGTGTCCGGCACCCAGGACAGAAGTCACCTGTGTTCCAGATGCCTCCTCGCCGCTCTGCCAGTCCCTGACCCCACGCCAAGTTCACTGCCCTCCAGATCTCCAACACGGTGACTCAGCTCTGTTGATGCTGTGTGAACTTTACAAAAAATGTGCCCCTCTGTGTGTGGTTCTCTCACTCAGTGTCATGTGTGAGATGTGTCTGTGTCACATACCAGAAGAATATATGACAGAGACTATTCTAAAATATTAACTGTCCAGCCCTCTGCAGAAAATATCTGCGGACCCTTGCTCCACAGCGCTCTGCTGCATGAAGACACCACCCTGACTTATCCATTCTGTGCTGATAGACATCTGAGGCATTTCCTGGCCTGGATATTTGAACATTCTTGGGCAGGTGACTTGGTGCATCTAAGTGCAGATTGCTCCAAGTGTCTACTTTGGAGTGGAATCAGCTGATCAGGGCATTTGCAGGTGATGCTCAGCCTTGGTAAATGCCACCAAGGGGCCTGCTGAAGCCATCTTCTGATTCTGCACTCCCAGCAGCCGGTGTGGAAATCCCACTCGCTGCGTACCTTTCCAACACCTGTCATGCTTGCTCACTATGTTTAGTGCTTCCTGTGGGGTTTGGTGCTAGCATATGGTTTTAATTTGAATTTCCCTGGAGAGTCCCCAGAGTCAGTGACTATGCAGAGGCTTGGGGACATTTAGTACTCTCTGATGTGAAGTGCCTAATTAATTACATAGTATTTTTGCCATTTTTCTTTTGATTGGTTTGTCTTTCTCTTTATTGATTTCTAAGAGTGCTTTATATATTCTAGACATGGGTCTGTGGTGCACGTGCATATTTACCAGGGTCTTCTCCCATTCTGTGGCTTGGCTCTTTTCTCGTGGTGTGTTCTGATGCACAGAAGCTCCTAATTTTATGACAAGTGCAGTTTATTGATATTTTCACTGTTAGCACTTTTTTGTGGCCTAAGAAATCTTTACCCAGGATCATAAAGATACCCTGTGTTTTCTTGAAGAAGCTTTTTGCCTTATCTTTCCCATGTAGACTGACATTGCAGGGGGGCGGGGGGTGGAGGTAGTGTGTGGTGTGAGGTAGGGTGGGGACACAGCCTGCACAGATTTCAGCTGCCCCAGCACCACCCCTGAAAGGGCCAGCCTTCCTCCTGCCCCTTTGAGTCACCTTGATCAGGACCCAGGTGACCATCTCTGAGTGGGTCCTCTTGAGGATTCTGCTCTGCTCTACTGGTCTCCTTGTCCTTGGGCAGTGCCACCCTGTCTGAATTCCTGGTGTTTCATCAGGCCTTGACCTCTGCACTGCCACTTCCCAGCTCTGCTGTTTTTCAAGTGTCTGGACTTTTCTTGACAGTTTATGTTTCCATAGATTTTGGAATCAGTTTGTCAGTGTTCCTCGGGATCAAGGTCACCTGGAATCCACAGATTCATTAGGGGATAGTTGAATCTGTTTCCAGTTGAGCGATCCCGTCCCTGACCACGGTCTATTTTTCCACATTCAGAAGCGCTCTGTTTTATTCTCAGCGCTTCTGAACAGTAGCACCGACGCCATTCCTTCCTGTCAGACACTTCTCCAACTGCAGAAGCAGAGGTGGATGCGTGGGGCCTGAGTGACCGGAACCTAAACACTGGCCAGCATAACGGCGGCTGGCGGGGCAGATGTTTTTTTTCCTGCAGACTCCGGACTTTGACGAGGGTGTGATCAGTGTGGTCACGGCGCACTGGGGGCGCACTGGGGACGCGCCGGGACTTGGGCCCCCTGGGTGGGTGGGGCTCCAGCTGCGTCTCTCCTGGGCCTTCGCTGACCTCTCTTATGCTCTGCTCACCAGCCTGTGCTCTCCCGCAGGACTGCCCTTTCATCGTGTGCATGACCTACGCCTTCCACACCCCGGATAAGCTCTGCTTCATCCTCGACCTCATGAACGGTGAGCGCGGAGCTCCGCCCTGTCCAGGCTCAGGCTGCGCCCCTGTCCAAGCAGCTGGCAGCTGGCCGGGTCCACCCCCACCCCCGGGGGCTCCAACAGCCTCCACCCCTCGGTTTTCCACTAAAATCCATTTTACACCGTGGACTGTGATTTCCCTCGGGCCTGCCAGGCTCTCCCCGGGAAGTAGGATTTTGCTAGAAGATATTCTCATGAAATGCTGGCTGTGACTTTTTACTTTCTGGAATGCAGCTGGCCCGGGGTTTTAATTAGCTCAGTTCCCGGCCCTCGTCCCTCGTGTCTTAGGGATGAAATATCTCACAAGAGCACAGGCCCAGCACAGGCACCAGCAACGAAGGACCCCTGGGGCCACCGCAGAGCATGGACCAAGCTGCCTGCCTCCTGGATCCGCAGCTCTCCCGCCCTCGGCTAAACCATGAGCCGGATCCTGAGAACGCCAAATTCCACTTAGCTGGAAAAGCCACTTTCTAAGAGAATAGATGGCCTGGTGTATATGCAAAGTCGTTTAGTAACAAGAGTAGAAATGAGAAGGCTGCCATTCTAATGTGCAGATGCCTGCTTCTGTTCTAAAGTTCGCTTAAAGTTTTACTCTATTCTTTTTTATTTACTTTTTTGGAACCAGGGGTTGAACTCAGGGGTGCGTAACTGCTGAGCCACATCCCCGGCCCTTTTTTTGTATTTTATTTAGAGACAGGGTCCCGCTGAGTTGCTTAGGGCCTTGATAAGTTGCTGAGGCTGGCCTTGAACTTGCGATCCTCCTGCCTCAGCCTCCCCAGACGCTGGGAAGAAAGGTGTGCGCCACTGCACCCGGTTGGTTTTACTATATTCCAAATGTTTGATTGAAAACCAGACCTATCCAAAAATACAAAGGAGGGGCTGGGGATGTGGCTCAAGCAGTAGCGCACTCACCTGGGGGCGCTGAGTTCAATCCTCAACACATTAAAAAAATAAAAATAAAGACATATAAAATAAAATTAAAAAAGAATTCTTAAAAAAATACAAAGGAATTCACAAACAGGATAACCAACCCAAAACGCCAGAGAGGTATCCCACATGACCCTGTGGACATGAGGGTCAGAGCAGGCAGCCAGTGAACAGTGATGGGCAGAAGAGCTGCCAGGGGTCAGGGCCCACACACTGACTGCAGGGCTTGGGGGCCTTAGGACAGTGGGGATCCTTCACATTTTGATCTGGTGGCAGCTGAGCAGTAGCACACCTGTGGGGAGAAAGAATCTTGTAAAAAGGTGGTCAAAAAGGTTGGACACACATTAGCTTTTATAAATGAATAAGGCTTTCCCTGTGGTTTATAGAAACACCCCTGACTGTTGGTGACACTGTGTCCCTTTAACAAGAAGCTGTAGGAGGAGTTCCTTTTCCCAATGTGGCATTAAGAAAATCTTCAAACATGCAACAGAGTTGAAGAATATCGCCAGGGACACTCCAATCCCCACCACCTGGAGTTTGCCTTAAAAATTTTACTGTATTTGCTTTATCAAATCTCTCTCCAGGCTGGGTGGGTGGCCCATGCCTGTCATCCCAGTGACTCAAGAGGCTGAGGCCGGAGGATCACACGTTCAAGTCTAGCCTCAGCAACTTAGCGAGACCCTGCCTCAAAATAAACCTAGCTCAGAGGTAGAGCACCCTGGGCTCAATCCCCCCGTACAAATCAAACAACTTCTCCAGGTGAACAGTTTGCATTTTCTGTTTGTCTACGGAGGTGGATGATCACAGGGCCATCTTTGGGTCTGTATGTAGGTGGATTTGGTTCCTGGACAGGATTTCAGGAGATCAGGGCAGGTTAGCTGGTCCCCCTGGATGGTGTAATTGGGAGCTCAGCTTCCAGCCCAAGGAAGCCCCTCCCTGCCTCCTCAGTCTTCTCGTCGCTTAAGTTTTCTCTAAACCTTTAGCCAGTCTACTGAAATCAGAGGTAGGTGTGTAGACCAAGCCCTGGCCCTGTTCTGCTGGGCCGTGACTATTTAGGGTGACAGTGACTCTGTTTTGCTTTAACAACGTGCTGTGAATGAGCTTCTCCATCTGGTTCCAGGGGGCGACCTGCACTATCACCTTTCCCAGCACGGGGTGTTCTCTGAGAAGGAGATGCGCTTCTATGCCACGGAAATCATCCTGGGGCTGGAGCACATGCACAGCCGGTTCGTCGTGTACAGGGACCTGAAGGTGAGGACGGGGCACCGGCCCCTGCAGCATGGTGGGTACAGGTGTTGAGCCTGCGGTCCCTGGGCAGTCCCGTTGCCTCCCAGAGGGGCAGGTCCCTTTCTTCACAGCCCCATCTCTGTGATGTCAGTCCCTCCCAGACCAGACTCTGCAGGGCCGGAATCCCTGGCCAGCCCTGTAGTCACAGGAACCTCTGTGCCCGCTACAGTGCCCAGTGCAGCGCAGACACTAAGTCAAGAAGAGAAAACAATTAGCTGGGTGCAGTGGCGCACACCTGTCATCCCAGTGGCTCGGGAGGCTGAGGCTGGAGGATGGTGAGTTCAAAGCCAGCCTCAGCAACAGCAAAGGCACTAAGCAGCTCAGTGAGACCCTGTCTCTAAATAAAACACAAAATAGGGCTGGGGATGGGGCTCAGTGGTGAGTGCCCCTGAGTTTGATCCCTGGTAAATACACATACATATATATGTATGTACATATGTGTGTATATAATATATATATATATATATATATATATATATAAAATACTTGTTAATTACTATATGTATAGCAATTAACAATGAAAAGTAGGGTAGGTGGTTTTTGGTACTGCCCACTTTGTGATCCATTATAGTTCACTCATTGCCTCACTGTGCAGCCGGTTTGGCCCCAGCCCTGTCAGAGTTGGAAGTGCACAAAGCCAAAGGCAGATCCTGACTCCTCTGGGCAGCATTGGCTAGCGAGGCTGGCTCCTGGCCCCCACTACAGCATCTCCCCGAGGCCAGCCTTCCCACGTTGCCTTGTTCTGAGCTCGCCTTCAAAATCCTCAATAGGAATTTAGATCCCTGAAGTCCATGACCACAGGGATCTCTGTTCTCAGCCCAGGCATTAAAAATCATGAGGTTGGCTGATTCTGAGTGCGCCACTCCAGGCTGTGGGCATGGTCCTGGGTTCTGCGTGGAGCAGGGGGTCAGGAGGTTGCTCATGACATCCAGGTGATGCTCATCCAGCTGTAATGGACAAGAGCCTGAGGACAGGTGGAGATCAGAGGGACCATGGCAGATCGTAGACACTCTCATGCGAACATCTAAATGTGGAGCTAATAATGAGGTGAAAATTGACAGGAGAGCCCTTTGCTGATGGATGAGGAGATGCACGAGAGAGAGCTTGACTCTCATGCCAGATCCCTTCCCAAGGGCCCACAGTGGCCGGTTGTAGCATCCATGTCACCTGCCTCTCCCTAAGGAGCTGAGGCGTTGGTTAGCGTTATTAGGCGTTGGGGCATTATTAGCGTGAACCTGCACAGCCAGTTGTGGTGTAGAGGGACCTGAGGGTAAGGACAGGCGTGGGCCTGCTACAAATCTAAAACACTGTTGTTTTTGAGCACAGTATGTTTTTCACAAAACACTTTGTGAATTTCAAACCTTTCTTCAAGGTTGAAGAATTATTCCCTTAGTGTTCTTGTGAGCATAAAGAAGAAAATGTATTTTATTGAATTAGAAATAATTAGACATTGGTTGGCTCATGACATTTCTTTATGTGAGTTTCACAGAATAAAATACATGCTGGAAGCCCATGAGGTCCCATTATCATACATTTTAATTTAAATCTATAACTGGTTACTAGTCATCTTGATGCTGTATTTTTGTTTTCTAAGCTATTTAGTAAGCAGTGGCATTATTTAATTTCTATTCAAACTTAATTCAAGTCACTCATGATTATTCATGCTTCGGTTTTATAATAACATGCCATTATTTTTATTTCAAGCAAAACAATAGTTGATCTCCAGCAGAAAAAAAAAATGTCATTAGGGAGACTGTAATTCAATGTATATAGGGATGGGAACTTGGTTTTCCGTGATTAGACTGGCCAAATCTAATCTTAATAGATGAATTTCTCAGAGTTGTGGGTGGAATCATATTTGGTCATTTGGTAGGGCCCTTGGTTAATGGTGTACAAATAAACAGATGACATTTATGGGGATTAGTGTGGCACCATGGAGTGCCTGGCTGTCGTGGGTCAGTGTCTTCCACTGGCTGGGGTTCCTTTCTGTCCTGTGCTACCCGGACTCATTTTCTGAGGTCCTGTGTCTCATGTCAGCCAGGAGGCCAGCAGCCCGGGTCCCTGTCGGCTGGAGGCCCCACCCTGGCTGCCCCGCAGTTGCTGGGCATTACTGAACTGTGGTGGGGACCTTCAGGGTTACCTGCCCCGTGTCTGATCCCGGGGAGCAGAACCCTCCCGCTCTCCCCCTGCCACTTCCTGCCAAAGTCAGGGTGAACAGTGTCACCCTCGGTCCTGCCCTACTCTGATGTGATAATATAAAGCTGTCACTCGTGATGACAGATACTCTATGATAAAAGTGGTAAGATGCAGAGTGTGCGAGCTTGTAGATGTCCCCATACCCTGGAACGTTCTGGGGACTCCTGAAGCTCATCTTCTCTTTCCGTTCAGCCCGCAAATATCCTCCTGGATGAGCACGGACACGTGAGGATATCAGATCTTGGTCTCGCCTGTGATTTTTCAAAAAAGAAGCCTCATGCGAGTGTGTAAGTAGCACACCCACCAAGCCCGGGCCTTCCTCCGCTGTGACTCGCGGTTCTGTGGGACACTGGCTTGGCCACTGGTGCCCCCTGTGCCCTCACCAGCCCTGATTTTCACGATGTGATAACACGAGTCAGGGGAGGATCCAGTATTGCAGGTTTGGGGAGCAGAAATAAGAGTGGGTGGGCTTCCTGTCGCTGTGTGGGGGGAGCATGAAGGCCCCCAGCGGAACAACCCGCTGGGGGATGGGTGGTCAGCTGGAAGGAGGGCCTTGCAAAGGGGTGGACTGCATGCTGCCATGTGACCTGAAGCAAGGCAGTGACCTCCTGAACCCTCGGTCTCTTCTGCCATAGAATAGAGATAGCAGTAAATCCCTTGAAACTGCTCGTCATGAGGCGACATGGAAGAGCCCGTGGGCTGAGGGGGGTGCGGGCAGCTGCGCACGCAGAGCTCTCCAGGCAGGGGCCAAGGCCAGGTCTCCCTTTGCACATCTGCTCTCCTCCTTTTTCCAAAGGATGTGCTGGGTTTTGGTATTTCTGGTTTTTTTTTTTTCCTCACAAGAAATCAGATTTCTTCTGAAATTAAAGAAGCTAATCATCCACTTGCAATTCAAGCTTTTAATACGGGTCACATTGCTAGATCCAGATATTGCACCAGTCCTCCATGTGACCATACAGAGGTGACTCCTGAGGGATCCTTGGCCCTTCAGCAGACACGGAGCAGCTCTTGGCGTGGCCATGCTTGGCCAGTGGACATTGGCCAGCCTGGTTCCTGGAACCCACTGATTTCACTGCAGGCCTTCGAGCCAGCTCTCCCAGGGCTCTGTGGAAATCGTGTGGGACACACAGGGGTTTTCGTGTCTGCCTCTTTGGTGTCAGGTTTTCGGCGTTGCGGGGGGTGGGGGGGTCTGAATGTGTGCAGTTTGCAGTAAAGCAGGTGACTTTTGCTTTGTCTTTTAAACTCTCTCACTTTTAGCACCGAATCCTTTAGAATTACATCTTATTGTCCCTCTTGAGCGAGCATTGGTGTCCGTGTGGCATGGCGTGGGGGAAGCTCTGGCCTTCTCAATTCAGGCATCTGGGCAGAAAAGAAACCGCAGACCCTTCTCCAGGAGAGGGGTGGTTCTGAATCGTCCTACTTTGTGAGGGGCCACATTCAATCAAAAATTGCCCTTTCCAGCCGGATCCAGTGTTAACAGTGACCGGCGTCATTTCTGTAAACATATTCCTCTTCTCCCACAGAATCTGGGGTACAGTGATAAAAGCATTAGCGTTTGCTAGCACTTACAATCACCAGGCCAGAACCTGCGGTTGTATAAGCTTCTCCCAGGGAGTTCATCAGACATTTTTAAGAGAGTCATTTGAATTTTTAATGTCACAGCCATTTGGTATGCTAATTTCTTCAATTTACTGTAGTCATAACTAAATAGAATCCAAGAGTTCATAAGAGTTAATCTTCAAAAGAATTGACTTGCAGACACGAGGTTCTTCATAGCTTCACAGGGCCCTGGTGGCTTTCTGCTGACATCCACATCAGCTGGAAGGGTGGGCTGTTGTGCCCGCCTTGGTTACACAGGCCCGAGCGGCTTCCCTGTTGAACTGCTGAGTGTGAGGCCACCACCTACAAAGCCCAGTGCAGGAGGCACTGCTTCCTGGTCACACACAGGAGCAGCTCGTGGCTCGGGGTAAAGGCCCCAGGGCCACTAGGCCCCAGTCAGCTTCTCCTGCACAACGTGTGAGCTTCCTTTCTCTCTTCCATAAGCAGAGGACAGTGACAGTAGCCTCCTGTGCCCTTGTGAGGACCAGTTCACTAAGTGACCCTACAAGTGTCTATTCCACACTTGCTGGGTGCCCGCTGCTAGCAATATGGTCGGGACAGACCTGACGCTGCCCTGGAACCTGCAGCCCAAGGAATGTGTGCAGGAAGTGACAAGTGGGAGGAGGGTGGTGAACCCAGGGCGTTCCTGGCCCCACCAGCCCGGCCTTGAATGCAGGATCATCATGGAAACCCCACGAACTGGGCTTTGTTATCTGCTCTTCACCTGTGCTTGTCAAGGACCAGGGGACGTGGGTGACTTAGACCAGGTCATGGGTCTGCAAGCTGCAGAGCTGGCACCATAATCCTCTCCTGTCTGAAGCCACAGCCCAGCTCACTGCGTGGTGGCGAGCTCTGAGGCTCGCAGAGATCTCCCTAGTGCTGGGCGGAAGAGCCTTGGCCAGAGTCCACCCTGAACCCCGTTTCTCAGGTCCACTCAAGGCTGCAGATGTGACCCTTGGGCTTCATCTAGTGGCTGCTCCACCTACAAACTAGCACTGTAGTTGAGCCTCCTGATCCGTGTTTAGACTTCACCTGTTTAGTGACAGAAACAAAGACTATTCCAGAATCACATCTAACTGGGGTAGCCACAAAAAACCAAAGGAAAAGTGACTAATTTGAGGACCAGTTTATTTTATCTAGGAACCCATGGCTGTCTCTTCTCGTGGAGTCTTCAGCGTTCAAGTTCAAGTGCTGGTCCAGTTTTAAAGGCAGTCCGGGTCATTAGCAGAAAGCGGCAGGCAGCGTTAGCAGCAGCCACGTGGGAACCAGAAAGGCACAGGGACAGGAGCCTGTGTCAGTTACCCAGTGCTCCCTGAGGGCTGGGGAGGCGGAGATGGGTGTTAGTTCATCTTTTCTATCCTGGGAGATGTCTTTCCATTCCAGGATTGTGACTTGATCCTGATAATTATGGGCTGAAAGGTCACCAAGAGGGCTTTCCAGGCAATGCTCAAATTAAACCCTCCCAGAGAAGGGTTTGGATGCCCTGGTGGAGATTTCCTTCGCATTCTGCACAGCTCCGTGGTCCTGCACTGGACCCGCCCACGGGACCAATTCCACCCATTGTCACCTCTTCATAAGACTTTCAAAATGTTCCCCCTAGACAGGGCCTCCTGGGCCCAGGGATGACCCAGGATCCTTGCTGGTCCGGGGTGATTTCCTGGGCAGATCTCACTGCCTCTGCGTCAGTGCATTTGAAATAATTCTACTAGAGCGGAGGGCAGATCCCCACTGGGGAAACGCGGAGCTGCTCTAGGTGCGCACCGTCTGCGATCCTCGTGGCACCCGGAGAGTGGGGCGTTATCTCATCACCCCTTTTGTCGATGAGGAAGATCTATGAAGTCTGAGGGGGCTGCAGGACGTGCCCGTAATGGCTTTTCAGACTTTCTGGCTGTGTCCTGGAGAAGTTCCCTGGAGCCCCTGGCTCCTCGCGGTGGAGCTGCGCATGCTCAGCTCTGGGCGGAGGGCGGGAGGCAGGCTGAGAGGGTAGGCCTTACAGACCTTAAGCAGATTTTAAAGCCCTATGTGCCTCATCCACCTGGGAACTGGGGGTGGGGTGGGGGTGGGAGGGAAGCTGTGCTCCCACCCCCACCCCACTCCCCCAGAGAGGGCACTGGACCTGGTGACCTGCCAGGTCCTTTCCCTCCTGCCTCCAGCCCTGCTCCCCCACACCGCCCTGCACCTCTGAGCAGAGCTCTAGCAAGGACAGGAGGAGAGAAGAGCTAAGAGATTTAGATTTCACCCCTTAGGCCCTGGGGCTCCACTTCCATATCCGCTTGTGTGAACTGTTCCTATGAATTCACACGCTAATGAAGACAGAGAAGGTGGACTTCCCCTTAGAGGCTCTGGGCGTGGTCTGGATGCACAGTGGTGGCCTTGTCTTGGGTCACAGCTGTGTCTCTTATGAACCTTAGGAGCCTGATCCTCGGGGGTGCCCTGATAACCTGGTGCCTTCTTCTCCCCAGGGGCACCCATGGGTACATGGCTCCTGAGGTGCTGCAGAAGGGGACAGCCTACGACAGCAGCGCAGACTGGTTCTCCCTGGGCTGCATGCTCTTCAAACTCCTGAGAGGGTGAGTGCAACTGTTCCCCCACCATGTACCCGGATCAAACTGGAGAAGGCTCTGGGCAGAGGGTGAGGCTCAGTGGTGGAGTGATGGCCTGGTGTGCCAGGGCCCTGAGTTGGAAACCTAGCAGCCCAGGAAGAAAATGCACAATATTTGGAAACGAGGAGACCCTGGTGTTGTCTAGAGTCACGCAGTGATCTCACTCTGAAAGATGACGTGGGGCTCCCAGGCCTGGAAGCCTGAGGGCTGCCCTCCTGGGAGCTCAGGGGTCCAAAGCCATGCAGGAGCCTCACTGCGTGGAGACCTAAAGTAAGACTGCTTCAAAGTATTTCCATTGACAGCTCATGTTCTGGAATTGTATTGAAATGTAAATATTAAAGAAGATGGGGTAAATTGTTTTTTTCCACATAAACCAGTTACTCATGGTTCTCTTGAGGGTATAACACACTTTTGAGTTTTTATAGTTAATATTATATTCAGTTCTTGTTCCAACTGACAAATAAGATAGAATGGAAAAGATTCTGAAAGGGAAGTTCTCTCAAAGATGTTCCTGTGTCGAACAGCGATGTTGATGTTGCCATGTTTAAAGACCTTTTAGCCAACTTTAGTGGAGAATTCAATTTTATTTTATTTTCTTGCAGCCCTGGGGATGGAACCCAGGGATTCATGTGCTGGGCAAGTGCCCTGCCCCAGCCACACCCCAGCCCTGGAGCTCAGTTGTAATAGAGCTCTTTTGTGTTCTTCATTTTTGAAGATGCAGAAAGCACTTCACAGTTTCCTAGTCAAGATTGTCCCTCTGCCACCTGTCCTTTGCACTTGGCCCTGCAGGGGGCTGACCCTGTTCATCACAGCCTAAGTGAGCACCTGCGCAGCTTGCTCCAATCAGCACATCTGAAGAGATGCCAACTCCGCCTTCCCCAGCCCAGGCCTCGGGACCTGATGAGCCAGCCTTCTCTGCTCACTGTGTTCCCCGGGGGGACCCACAATCGTGTTATTGCTGAGGCAGTCCGGTCTGTTGTTCTGTAATTGAATCACCCTATTTGCGGAGCCTGGATGGGCTTAATTCCTGTCCTCAGACAAGCTGACCTGATTAGAGAGTTTATGCAAAGCAAACCAGAGAAAGCCATTGCCCAGGGGAGAGCCTGTCTCCCTGGGGAGCTGCCAGCAGGCAGTGGCAATGCCAGTCTTTGTTTTGATCCCTGCTGGGGACGGAATGAAAACACAGAATCTATGTCTAGGGAGTTTGAGGCTGATGGGAAAGTGGGCGACAGGTTAGAGTGTGGGAGAAGACAGTGGACGGTCGGGTTCAGCAGGGAAGTCTGCAAGGCCTTGTGCTTGGGGCTGTGCTTCTGTGGTCCCAGGGTAGGGCTGGGAGGGGCTGCTGTGGCTCTGCCTGATGCACAGGAGTTGACCTTATGACCCAACAGGGTGGTTGTGGCTGATAAAGTGGGTCCCCTAGTATTTGGCTACAGTTCAACTTTGCCGCATGGGAAGAGATGCACTTTCCTGTGAAGCCCTTGGTTGCGCTTGATGGAAGTGTTCTGTTGGGGGGGGCTCCTGTGGTGGTGGGGGGTCTGGGCTGGTGGGACACCCAAGGGAGGTCACGGGATGGGAAGGAGGAGAACAGTGAAAGAGGCAGGGACTGTGTCTTCCAGGGAAAGGCTGGGAGAGGCCGCCTGGCAGTCGGGGGTCCGGAGAGAGTGGCGCCCCCGTCCCAAGGTCGTGGTACTGAAGGGCTTTGCCCACTGTGACTACAGAGGGCAGGGGATTCAAGATTGGCACAAGACTGGGCATCAAGCACTGAGCCACCACCTGGAGGAGTGGTCTGCCCTGTGTAGGAAGGATAGGGCGAAGGTGACTGTCCTCAGTGACACTGTGACCTCATGCCATAGTATCTGTTCAAAGTCCTTCACAGAAACCTACAGCATTGAGATCAAAGCGTGGGAATGTGTTTGGCTCCAGGATTGCACTTTTATTGAGTACCTGACACATACAAGAGACGGTTCCCGGGGAGGTGGGGGAGGGGAGGAGGAAGGCAGGGAGGCTGGAGGGCCCCTGAGCCAGAATAGGGCCACCGCAGGAGCACGGAGTGGGGCCCGTCATAACTTGGCAGGGTGGCCAATGTCATGTCAGGCTAGGTGGGAGGTGGTGTGTGAGTGGGCGTTGTGGGATGGACAGGGTCGCATCCTGGCTGGGGGTGGGACGAGCAGAGGTTCCGCATGGGGGGCGAGCAGGAGCAGGCTGCTGTCTTGCATGGCTGCCCGGAATGGTGAGTCCCTGTCAGGGTGAGAAGACCAGGTTAGGACCCCGCAGCCTCATATGCCATGCTGGGGGTGTGGCCTTGGTCCCCAAGGTCCCCAACCCTGAAGACCTTGAGTATAGGAGTGGCTGGGCAGTCAGGCTTTCAGCAGGAGGGTCAGGCAGCCACGTGGAGAGGTGAGGCGGGCGAGTGCCGAGCTGGGTGTGGGCGCTTTGCCTGTGGAGGACAGTGGCATTGCCACCCAAACCAGCATCTGGAATCTCACAGGTTCAGAGTAAGCCCAGGTTCCTGAAGGCCGTTCAGGAGCGAGACCCTGTGCTGGGGTCCTTAGGAGGCAGGACGGCACACAGGGCCTTTGTCCCCTGAGCTGCAGACCAAGGCAGCAGCCGCATGGAGGGACCTCGAGCGAGTGGTCTCTGGCATCCGGGTCTCTCCTGCTGTGGAGAACATAGCCCTGGGAGCCGTCTTTTCCAGAGAAAAACGCAGCAGGAAACAATGGAGCAGGAGGTTGAGGGGCCTCTGGAGTGCTGGCTGAGGGTGGCCTGTCCCCTCTGCATCCTGGCACCCTCGAGAAACAGCCACAGCCGACCTGGAGTTGCAGCTGGAGACATGCCTGGAGACACCTGGACACACCTGGAGACATACCTAAAGACACACCTGGAGACATCTATAGACACACCTGAAGACACACCTGGAGACACTCCTGGAGATACCTGCAGACCCACCTGCACAGCACAGTTCCCTTCCCGGCAGAGCCTTCTGCTGGGAAGCTGAAGAGAAGCCTTCAGCTGCTGATTAAGAAATGCTTCTCCAGATCGAGCCCTTCTCCCTCCTCTCACCCCTGTGCAGGGAGCTTAAACCCGTGTCTCCAAAGGTCTTTCTCACATTTATTTCCTGTGCCTTTGTACTTCTCACGCTGGCAGGTGTGTCCCGTGGCTTCTCCCTGACACTCTCTGTGCCCCTTACCCCCACCCCCGCCTGGTGCCTCAGAGCAGTCCTGTAGGCACTTGGAGGGGGATCTGGTGGAGACTCCTCCAGGGCCTGGGAGGTCCTGCATCCTGGGACACCAGTGCTGCAAGTCGCAGTGCACATGTCGTATTGTTGGATGGCGGTGTCAGATATTTAAGGTCACTGGTGTATGAAAACATGTCTGTGTTGCAAATCTGTGGAATTGCCAGCTGGTACCTCATCTAGATTGAAGTTGCCTGTTAAGGAGAAGAATTGAAGTGGCACTGGCCTCCATCTCAGCTTGTCACCACCGATTGTTGGTCCCTCAGCCTAGGTAGTGGCCTGGGGAGAGGTGAGCCCTGCCTGGGGTTGTTTTGCTCCACGTATGGAAACAGGGAAGGTTATAAATCCTTAGCCTGCTCTTGGCTCACTCAGGAGGCCTGTTTGAATGGCCACCGCAGGCTTTGGCTGCAGGTCCAGTGTGCTCTCATTGGACCGCAGAGCCAGTTTCCCCTGCAGTCCTCTCTGTATTCTAAAGTCAGTTTTCGACGTGAGTTTTTCATCATCTTGATTTTGAACCCACCATTGCCCATGAGTGGCTGCAGCCAACGTGGCTGATGCTTCCACAACATTATCGCCACTTCCCGGCTCGTGTGGGGGACTCGTTTACTCTCCCACTCCCTCTGTGCCTGTGGGCGCAGTCCCACGTGGCCCCTTTGCTGGCAGATTGTGGCACGTGGTGCTGGGAGAACTCGGCTCTGCTGGGGGCTGTCGCAGGCCTGTGACTGTCTCCTATTTAAAGCGCCTGCATCAGGGAGCAGCTGTGATCACACAGGATCCGGGAGCACCACGTGCCCCGCTCAGAATGGAGATTATTACTATCGTTGGTTTTCTTTAACACTTTCCAAAATAGAATCCAAATTTTTGGCTTTGTTCACAAAGAATAATCAAGAATGCACTGGAAACAGATGTGCATCAAGAGTTCCACTCGAACGCCCCAACCTTCTCAGCATTCCGGCAGTAGCGGCTTGAAGAGCTGAAAAGCAGCCCTGATAACTCCCCATTGAGTCAGACGGGGAGTCGCTCTATTTATAAACGGGACCTGGAGCGCTGGGCCATGTGCTGGCCGTGTTTCTGGCACTGCCGCCTTGAACTCCAGTCCCCTTACGAGCCTCCCTGTGGTCCCAAGAAAGGCTTTTAAATTTAGCACAGAGAAGGCGTTGGAACCCAGCAGCCCCTCTCTGCAAGGTCAGGGCACAGCCCTTTCCTTCCAGCGTGAGGGTCAAGTGCAGGTGGGGATGCGAGCTTGTCTCATTTGTTTTGGTGCCATGACAGAATGTCACAGCCTGGGAGGTGGATGGAGAAAGACACTCACTTCTCACCTTTCTGGAGGCTGGGGAGGAAGTTCCAGAGCGAGGTGCGCCTCTGGAGAGAGCTCGCCTGCCCTGTGGTCATGGGGTGGAGTCCCACCACATGCAGGGAGCAGAGAGAGCAGGGTCAGCCGGGAGGCCAAACCCCAGCGGCAGGGACAGGTCAGGCAGGGACCTCAGAGTGTCACAGGACAGTCAGCCCCCCTATGAGCTGGGGGTGGCGTCCCCACCTTGGCAGGGGTGCAGCGCCACAGCGGGTCCTTCAGCTCTGCAACAGGAGCCTGCAGAGCTCCGGGGAGCTCTTCCTTGGACCCCTTTTTAGAGGCCGGGGAACACTGGAGCAGGAAAGGCCAGCGTCAAGCAGGGACTGACGTCTTGATGCAATGAGATAAACTATTTTCCTTGCTTTGGGAACTCTCAACATGTGAATATTTTTATGGATACAAAAGAGAATGATGGAAATTCAATTTTTTTTTTAAAAAAGCATGATATCTTCTAAATAACAGATTGTATTTTGTGTGTGTATCCAATTGCTTTTTAATTCAGTAATTGCACCTTGTTCTTTGGAAACAAGGTGAAATAAGTATTTCCCATCAAAATCTGTTTTAAACATGCCTGCTTGCTGCCACTCTGCCTTAATTTGATTCTTTTTTTTTTTCTTCCCCAAATTAGTGCTTTAAAGTGGTTGACATCGTTGTGGTTTTCACTGTGTGACAAGGAATCACACAGGCGTCACAGTGCCCTCTCCCGCACAAGGGGAAAATCACCATGGGCAGGCAGGCAGGAGACATCTGCTGCATGCTCGTCTTGACAAGAGGTGGTTTGCCATGTGACTTCAGTGTCACTGTGTGACTTCTGAGCTTGGGTGGGGCAGCGGCTCACGGGTAGCACAGGCAGCGCGAGGAGGACTGGGATTTCCATTCTTTCTCAGAAGCCCCTTGACTTACGTGCTCAGCCGCCTTCTGATACTTTGCGTGAAGTTGACGTTACAGTGCTTCCCGCAGATCACGTCCCGGCTGCCTTACAGATGATTTATAGGGTAAATCACTCGGCAAGTGGGTGTTGCCACAAGTAACTTCATTCGCCTAAGTCATTTCTTTAATTTTCAAAGACACAAATGGGCTCTGCTGTTGCAGTTTGCATGTTTAGAAGCGTCACCCAGTGATAAGCTTCCCTTCCAATGCCAGCGTCTCCAGAGTCTTGAGCACGTGGCGGAGTGAGGGGAACCTGCCCCGCGAGATTCCAAGTGTCGCCCCTCATCTATGAACTCTGCCAAGGGCCCCGTCTTGGTAGGGAGGGCTGGCTACCCACCTCTACCCCGCCAGCTGCTTGTGGGGTCCTTGCTTCAGTTGTCCCTTCTTCCTCCTGTAGGGTGCAGGGCACAGTCCCCATCTTCCAGGAGAAGGACTGGGAGCTGCGGGGGTTTTTCGGGCTCAGTGAGTCACAGCTGGACCTGGCTTCTGTGCCTAAGGTCTGGGCTCTTCAGGGATGGCACCCAGAGTCATCAGTCCCTGGGGGGCGCAGGCTGGTCCATGGCTGTCACCAGCAGAGGGATGGCTTCCTGTTGCTGGCTTCCAGGGAGAATAACATCCATCTGGATCATGCCGTTGGCCTGCAGGTCCTAGGGAGGTTTTAGAAACAGTATCTTGTTTAGCTGAAAAAATTGCACGGAATTCATGGCTGTCTCAAGCACCCCAGTGACTAATTTACACAGGTGGCTTTCATTTTCATGACCACCTGCTGGTGGCTCGTTTTCCCTCTGAATGTCTTCACTGAAAATGCACATTTAGTGCATTTAGCACTTGCGCTGCACAGAGGCTCAGGCACCAGAAGCAGGATGGACGTCCTGCTCCTTCAGGACCCAAGGGTTTATTTTGGTTTTTTGTCTTTTGTTTTTTCTGGAAACAATGCTCATGAGCTTTGCTTTTCTGCAGTTTTGAATGAACAGTAGCAGGGCAAAATACTTCTACCCAAATGTTAGTCAATACGTGTGCTGTTACCTGGCGCCATATTTTAATAGAATGTTCTTTGTCTCCACAGCCACAGCCCTTTCAGACAACATAAAACCAAAGATAAGCATGAAATAGACCGGATGACCCTCACCATGGTAAGCATGAGATGGACCCGATGACCCTCATCATGGTGAGGGGACTCAAGAGTCAGTCTGTCCTCACCTGCATCAGGGCTCTCAGACATCACACCATTAAAAATAAAATTGGTATAAAGTACATACAAAGCATGGACAAATTCTGTAAAACAGTTTGAAGTATTTGTGTGTAGTATGCAAAAATCACAAAACTTGGCTTTTGTGAGTGAGATAAACAGACAGAGATACCGTTCCTAGAAGAATGTCTAAAAGGTAAGGAATGGAGGTAGACCCAAGGCAGGAATCACGACTCACAAACAAGCAGTGGAAGAAAGTTACAGAAAGTCAAGTACAAAACCAAGAAAATCAACAAAGGGAGGGGCCTGCAGAGGGGCAGGAGGGGCCCCCAAGTCCACCGCTCTGGCCCTCCTGCTGGTGGGCTCTGTCCCCCGTGCTGCCTGTCTCGGGGTGCCGTTTTCCGTGCTGTCCTGACCCAGGGGCCTCGGGTGTGAGGCTGCTGTTTCCAGGAGCCACTGTTCTCTCCCCAGAACGTGGAGCTCCCGGACACCTTCTCCCCTGACCTCAAGTCCCTCCTGGAGGGCCTGCTGCAGCGGGAAGTGAGCCAGCGGCTGGGCTGTCACGGAAGCGGGTAGGCTCAGCTCTTCTGTCCCCACAGGCGGGGACCGAATGTGTGTGCACTGCTCTGTGAGTGCTGTGACTGAGAAGCCGGGAGCCTGTGAGGTGTGGAGCCAGCCTGGTGGAGGACGGAATGAACTCGGCCACCTTGCAGTCCCTGTCCCCGTGGTGCATGCCACTGTCTCAGTCTTGCACTGAGATGTTGTGACCGGCTCCCACGTTTTCTCCCAGGCCCACCTGAGGAGTGGCCGTCTCCTTCACGTGCTCTCCCCTCCCCCAAAGCACCCCAAAACAGTCAGACCAGGGAGGAAGCTTTAGAGAAATGCTTACACAGACAGTCTCTGATTTGTCCCCACACGTGGCTGGCTTCACACGGAAAGGACAGTATGTCACTTGTGTGTGTGTGTGTGTGTGTGTGACGTGTGTGTATTTTTGTATTTCCAGAGTAGCCTGCATGTGTATGCGCTCATTATTCCTGAATACTGTGTGTGTTTTATTTAGCTAAATAATATGCTCATATGCACATTTCCTTATTTATCGGTTCCACTGAGGGTGTCCCATTCCCACTGTAAGAATAAAGCCCTGGTCACTGCCCCCTCCCAAGAGTCCAAGTCTACTTTGGGATCCTCTTTTGTTTACCTTTGTAGCTTTAAACTATAGATTTAGCCAGTGGTGCCTTTTCTCACCAACTACAAGCAGCATCTCTTGAGTCCCGACTGTATACAGTGAGGCTTCGACATTCTCTTCATTCATCGATTGCTTCTCTCTCCCTCGTTTGTCATGTACTTTTCTATTTTTGCCAAATTAAGTTGTTATTGTCTTTTCCCTATTCTTTGATCACAATGAATCCCAACCTTTGCACTTTGCATGGGTTGATTTCAAAAGTTGCAGGTGAAATAGTGTTTATACCATAAGGCAACTACGTAGTCTGGTAATGGGCCTTACATTTATTTATATAACATGACGTGTGTGTATATGAAGAGATGATATCACAGTCATGGGCTTTTACTTTTCCTGGTTTTCTTCATGGCACACAAACTACCAGCTCCAGTGAGAACCACGTGATTTCGGCCAGTCGGCTTCCTTGCAGCCGGCGGCGCCCTGCTCTGCTCTCCTGGTCTGAATCACCATCGACTTGATCCCTCGCCTGTACTTTTCTGGGTCCCTCTGTTTGAGCTGGAGCATGTTCCCAAGGAATCTTAGAGAGGGGCTGTGAGAGGCCAGGTGTCTGGGTCTCACCTAGACTGTCTTCCTGCCGTCCACAGACATGACTCATGTAGGCCAGACACGGGACAGTCAGTCACTAGCAACCCCCCAGAACTCTGAAGACTCTGCTTTATTGAGTACAAGTGAACAATCCCTGTGGTATGGAACTCCCGTAGTTCCTGACGCCAGGTGCTTTCTCTCAAAGACTCATGCTCTTCAGCTTAGGGGAGAGTCTTGTTTAACTTGTGTACATTTCCGCTCCTCCATTTCTCCCAGAAGTCCATTGGCTGGATGCTGGGACTTCTAGGCTGGTCCCCTCTGCTCCTGATCTTGTATATTATCCATATCTTTGCTTTGACTCTTTCTTATACTTTCTGATCACTTAAATTTCCAACCCTTTTACTGATTTATTTTGAAAGATTAGTAACAGGTTTAGTTTCTTGACTGTAGAATCTTTCAGAGGTTGTCTTAGCTTTTTCATTGCTGTGGCTAAAGGATCCACCAGAATAACTGTGGAGGAGGAAGTTTATTTGGAGGCTCATGGTTTTGAAGGTCTCAGTCCATAGACTGAGGGCCCGAGGTGAAGCTGAACTTCATGGTGGAAGAGTGTGGAAGAGAGAAGTAGCTCGCATGATCCTCAGGAAGCAGAGAGAGAGAGACTCTACTCCTCAGATATAAAACTTATAACCCAAGGCCACGCCCCCAGGGGCCCACCTCCTCCAGCCACCCCCACCCACTCTCAGTCACCACTCAGTTAATCCCTTCAGGGGGCTAACCACTGATTGGATCAAGACTGTCATGGCCCGGTCACTTCGCCTCTCAGCCTTCTTGCACACATGAGCTTTTGGGGGATATCTCATATCCAAATCATACGGGGGTGGGGGGTAGTTCCTTCCCACCAGGACAGCTGCAGGTGCTTGGGGCTTGGTGTGGGGCAGGAGGTTCCGTGTGCAGGTGTCCAGCTGTGTCCAGCAGTGCCCCAGCCCTGTGTCTCACACGCACTCATCCTCTGTGATGAACCTGGAGGTCAGCACATGGCTCCGTCCCCAAGACCCCAGCTCGGCCACTCTGCCCAGTCCCTGCTCTCTGTCCCCTCCCCCACTTGCCAGCTGGTGGCCCTGGCTGCCGCCTCTGGGGAGGGTCTGCCTCTCTGTGCTCTGCTGTCCCTCGGGCCTGTGGGAGGGGCAGGGCTGATCCAGAAGCCACCCCTGCGGCCCTCGGCAGTTGCTAGTGGATGTGAGGAAACCAGGAGCCTGTCTAGCTCACGTCTAGGGCTAGTGACAGGGCACCAACCATAGCACAGCTGCAGAAAGCCCCAGGGCTTCTGGTGGACATGCCCAGAGCTCCGTGACCTGGACTCCGCCCCACTCGGTGACCCCTGAGCCCTCGCTGAGCGCCAGCCCCATCACCCTGCCTCCGCAGGACAGGGCCCAGATGGACTTGGCACTTACGTGGGGTGGAGACGGCACCAGCAAACAGACCACTGAGAGGACAAGGGCTGTGAAAGGGACCAGGAATGACTTAAGCAAAGTGGTGGGCAGATGGTGGGAAAACTTTGTAGGTCGAGGGCTTCGGGCGGGAGGGCCTCAGACAGGCTGTGATTCAGAAAAGCCAGGAAGGCTGGGTCACAGAAACTGAGGGTGGAGGAAGAAGACAGGTAGAAGAATGGATCCCAGAGGTGGCCCCTGGCCAGGTCCCCTGGGCCCTTGTCACTGGGGTGTGGCACTGAATTTTGCCATAAGTTCCCAGGGAAGCTGGGGAGTGAGGGGCAGCAGGGCAGCCCGGGTGGGAGGAGCGTGGCCTGGGGGCGGCAGAGCAGCCTCAGACCTGCTGCGTGGTCCATGCAGGGCTGCTGGGCAGGCACTTGGACATGAGGCCTCATGCAGACAGGACTTGGGCGTCACGTGACGTCACCAAAGGCACACAGGGCCTGGGCAGGCCCTTGTGGTGTGTCTGAGGACCGGCCTGGGCTCTGCAACACAGATGGACAGAGAAGTGCTGTGGGTCAGGGAGGTCTTGACCATGAACTTCAGGAAGTTTGTTTCTTCAGCTTAGGAAGGGGCTCGGCACTCAACCCACCACTAGATTTCTAGTTTGCATCCAAGTCAGTGTTTCCTGCTTAAGATCATCATTTTCCCTATCAGAACCAGCAGACATTTGCCACAAATTTCTTAAATGTGTAGATCTCCAATTTAATTCTTATTAAGCTAAATTCTCATGGCTACAGAATCGCCATTGACAGGCACGTAGAATGTGTGTGTGTCCTCTACTGTTCTGCTTTTGAGGTGTCACACACCTATACCTGCCGCGGGGTGTGGGCGGGCCATGAGTGGTCACGTGGACGGGCTCCAGGTACTGCCCTAGGCCTTTCTCAAGGTCACGGCGTTCCCTGAGCTGCTCTGAGAGAAGCGTCCTTACTTGCTGTCCTGAAAAGCTGTGGTCACTCCGACATGTTGTAAAGTACCTCTCCCGTCTCCAGTGCATACTCACCACCTTTAGGACCCTCTCTTCCCCAGTGCCCAGGAGGTGAAAGGACATGGCTTCTTCAAGGGCATCGACTGGCAGCACGTCTACCTGCAGAAGGTACTCACGCCCAGGCCCTGGTGCCACGGCCTCTGCGCTCTGCCCGCTCTGCCTCTCCTCGTTGCTGGCTTCCTGGACCTGGTCCCCACCCAGCTTCCTGTGTCCACAAAGCTCTGCCACCCGGGTGTTGCCCTTGGCTGACCCCCTTTGGGACAACAACTCACTCTTCCTTTTGTTTTTTGGGTTGGCCCTGCGCCCCCAGGCTCAACCAACCACAGGTGAAAGACAGGAAGAAAAATCTCATCTGTATGGAATATGCACAGATTTTTTTCCCTATTAGTTTTTCCCCAAACAACCTAGTCTAGCAACGATTCACATAGCACTTACACTGTACTGGGGATTGCATCATCTAAAGATGGCACAGTATCCAGGAGGAGATGGCCAGGTCCTAGGCAAATACCTGTGATTCTACATCAGGGTCTCAGGCATGTGCTAATCTGGGTGTGCAGGGGGTTCCTGGGACCAATCCTCAGATACTGGGGGACAGCTTATATAAATTTCAAAAATACCTCCTCTATAAATTAATTAAAGATAAAATAGAGCTGTTATGTAGCTAATTCAAATGTCCATATTATTGAGACATTTTAGTTTTGGCCCATCTGCTTGATTTCTTAACGTGGCCGTAGTTTTACATAGACTTCTGTAAAAGTATAGGAGAAACTTTTGGCATAAACTTATATATATATATCTTCTAGCCCCGGACCACGTAGTTTAAGAATTAGCATGATTGTATATCAGCACAATTCCTTTATTTTTTTATTCTTTTAAAAACATTTCTTGTGATGCTGGGGATGGAACCCAGGGCCTCCCCCATGCTAGGCACGGCTGCACCCCTGAGCCATGGCCCAGCCCTGTTTCCTTATTTTAAGCTTCATTATATCTCATTGATATAGGAAAACCCCAAATAAAATATATTTTTAAGAATATATTTTATTCTTATGTGATTGGCAGTTTCTGCACGAATGCAAGCTTCAGAGGGGCGTCCCTTCTGTGGGAAGGACACCCTGACTGGTTGGTCCTGTAGACAGAATCTGGGCATGGCCACTCACCTGGGCGACACCTACAGGTGTTGGAGCTTGGCGCTTCTGCAGGCGCCGTGGTGGCAGGTTGTGGCTCCAGTGACCAGGAGGAACACTGCATCCTCTGAGGGAACTGCTTTCTAGAGGCTGAGTGGGGGGTGGGGGGTGTGAAGTCTTGAGACTTCATTATATTTAAAAATGTTTTAAGACTTGAAGGTCTTTTTTTTTTTTTTTTTTTGCCCCTGAGACTTGGCTGTCCCCTTGGGCTGCCAGTGCAGACCCTTGTGTGAATGCATATGGCTTTAGTGCTGCTCAGAATGCAGCAGGGTGACTTCACTCAGCTCCTGACACAGACTGCTGGGAGGGGAGGGGGCCGCCAAGGGCAGCTGATAAGGGAACCTGCCTCCTTGCCTCTTTCAGTACCCACCACCCCTCATCCCTCCCCGGGGAGAGGTCAATGCTGCGGATGCCTTTGACATCGGCTCCTTTGATGAAGAGGACACCAAAGGCGTTAAGGTATGCGGGTGCTGGCTGCCTTCTGGTTTGGGGTGGAGAGAATTTCTGTTGAGTGTCCATCAAACTTAGTGATTGCTCTAGCACGGTTGTAGAATGTCACCTACAAGTGAATATCTACGTAGCTGACATATGTGCAGTCAAAGACCTACCTTAGACAGACACCATAAAAGCTTTCTTTGTACTGCTAATTTGATTTGTCTTTTATTAGGTCCTGGGGCTTGAACTCAGGGACACTCACCACTGGGCCCCATCCCAGCCCTATTCTGTATTTTATTTAGAGACAGGGTCTCACTGAGTTGCTTAGGGCTTCATTGTTGCTGAGGCTGGCTTTGAACTCACCATCCTCCCGCCTCAGCCTCCCGAGCTGCCGGGATGACAGGCATGCGCCACCATGCCCAGCCTTGCTAATTTTGATTTTGACAAACTGCAAAATGGTTGATTGATATGGAATATTTGTGTTTGAAATAAAACTTGAATGAATGTGAGCCAGAGAAACAACTTGACATCCAGCACAGCTCACCTGGTACCTGAGTTCAGTCGTCGTAATTCTCCTAGTAGGTGGGTCCCCAGGCTGGGATGAGAACACCAACAGCAGGGGCCATTTGCTTGTGTCAATCAAAGGGACATAGTCCCTGCCTTTTGTGTCATCCTTGGCATTTTTGAAGCTTCTGTTCACATCATCATTTTTCTAACTAGAGACAAGTCATAATTACAGATGTGATCACCAAGGAAAACTATCGTCTTTAAGATGCTAAGTTGCAGCGTGTCACTAGCGTCAAACTGTCATCTGCCCCCTGTGAGCCCCCACAGCTCATCCCAGGCTCTTCCCACCACCCCAGGCCCCCTCCTCTTAGCTGCCGCCCACGTGCTCTTCTCTACGCACCTCCCCTTGTCCCCCAGGTGCCTTCCCCTCCAGAAGGCAGCAACACTGTCAAAACACACCTGCCAGGTGCAGAGCAAAGACTGAAATCACTGGCCGGGCAGGAGCTCTGAAGGGACAGAGGTGGTAGGTAGAGGACCAGAGGAAGTACAGAGACCCTGGGGAGGAGGGCAGAGTCTAAGGCCACCTGCCTGGCGAGCTGGGGAAGGAAGTGGTCAGAGCTGGCAGCTCCAGGAGAGGAGGGCGGAGCTGGGGTGTATGCAGGAGCAGCCCCCAGGAGGAGGAGGTGAGGTGCCAGAGGACCAGGGGCAAGGCCACAGCATGTGGAGGGTGTGAAGTGATTCAGCAGTTTAGAGGCACCCCTCTGAGGTTTGCCGCCCTGGGCTCCCCCGGACAGCAGCCGGCATGCCCAGGCCTGCCCTCACTGGGCCGCGTCTACAATGTGACCCTTCGGAACCCGTCCGAGTGCCAAGCATCCATGTATATCACTATTTAAAAGAGGCAGCTGTCACAATAGAATTCTGTCATCATATATGCCACTGTCCGTCAAAATTAAATTAAAGCTGCTATTATGTGGAAGCCCAGACAAAATTTTCACATGAAAGATCCTCTGATGGAAACTTTCTATAAACCGGACTCTGAAGACTTGGTGTGAAGCTGCCACTCTCAGCTGAATGGACTCGGGCCGTCCCAGCCCCGAGCGGTGGCTTCCCCACCTGTAAAGCGTGTGGCTTCATTGCTGGCCATTCATTCTCCAGGATGGTGCGATGACCCCCGTCCAAGCCCCGGGCCCACGGTCAGCCCTTGTGGCAAGCTAGTGGCTTCTATCGCTGCGGCTTCAGGGGAGAGCGCAGGGGGATGTGGAAACCGTGTGGGAACGAGGCTGGGAGGGAGGAGCCTGTGGGGGAATGAGGCTGGGAGGGAGGAGCCTGTGTGGGAATGAGGCTGGGTGGGAGGAGCCTGTGGGGGAATGAGGCTGGGAGGGAGGAGCCTGTGTGGGAATGAGGCTGGGAGGGAGGAGCCTGTGTGGGAATGAGGCTGGGAGGGAGGAGCCTGTGTGGGAATGAGGCTGGGAGGGAGGAGCCTGTGTGGGAATGAGGCTGGGTGGGAGGAGCCTGTGTGGGAAGGACGCTGGGGGGAAAGGGCGCAGCCCTGATGGCGCGTTCCCTGGCAGCCCCTGGTCTTCAGGAGCACGGCTTCTCCACCTGTGGGAAGCAGCCCCCTCCCCCCACTGCTCGGTTCATCACAGAAGGCTCCGCCCCTCACCTCAGGTCACCCTCAGCTCTCCTCTAAGTCCTGCTGAGCAGTGGGGCTGGGTCCCAGGATGGAGGCTTCTGGAAGGCCTGGGAGGCGCACGGTGCATCCACAGAGCAGGGCTGGCTGTTGTAGGGCAGCCGCTCGGAGGGAGTGTGGGGCCTGGCGTGGTGGCACTGCCGCCCCTGCCCTCACTCTCAGTGGCACACCCTCACCCCAGGTGCCACCTGCCCCTCCTCACACCCAGAACTGGGCTTAGTCTGGAGGTGTGAAGACGGCAGGAAGGGGCCCTGCCAGCCAGGGGTGTGGGAGTGGGGGTGCCTTCCCGGCAGCACAGTCAGGCACACAGACAGACCGTGCCCCAGTCCGGGGTGTGGGGCGCACTCGGCCCATCCGGTGTCTCTTTCCCTTCTAAAGAGCTTGCCTGCTGCAGTGCTTGTCCCCTCCTTATTTCTCAGAGAAAGGAGTAAGGAATTCGGACCCTAGAGAGAACTGTGCTTCTCACAAGACCCGGGCTGCTCCTCTCAAATTGTATTCCACGGCCCCCTACACCATAGCTCAGGGACATGATGACTTTTTTTGGTGCTGGGGGCACAGGGGCACTTGACCACTGAGCCACATCTCCAGCCCTTTTTTATTTTGAGACAGGGTCTTGAGGCTGGCCTGGAACCTGCCATCCTCCTGCCTCAGCCTCTGGAGTTGGTGGGATTACAGGCATGGGCCACTGCACCAGGATCTTGGCTCATTTTCAAAGTGCAGCCTCTCTTAGAGGGCAGACGGAAGAATTTTGAATAACTGGAAGCAAAAATGCTATCGTTACGTGTAATTTTTATCACAGCAACTCCTACAGGCTGTGTTGCCTAAACTCTCGACGCATCTTGGGCCTAATGTCTCTACCCATGTTCATAGTGTTTAATTACTTGGAAAGTTCATGGAAAGAGTGGTGAATCCAGCCTACGTTACCTTGTGTTTGACTTTTCAGATGAACCGATGGTAGGTTGGGAACCTTCTTGGCTTTGCCCTTATCATGAGCTCTAGAATTGTATGGACTGTTTTCCTACTTTATAAACAAGGTACCCTCACTGTAGTCACAGTGGCACTTGGTGGCAGAACCTACCCGTACATCAGTCTGGTTTTCAGTGGCACAGACGTCATGAAGCTGGCATAGAAGGGGCCCAACCCCCTCCCTCCTGCAGTAGAGAGCTGTTGTCTCTAGCAGAGGTCACGGGTGGCGACGTGAGCCTTCAGAAGTGCGCTAAATCATAAATGTCTTGGTTTCTTAAATTGGCAAGCTGCTGGACGGCGACCAGGAGCTCTACAGGAACTTCCCCCTGGTCGTCTCCGAGCGCTGGCAGCAGGAAGTCACAGAAACCGTCTACGAAGCCGTCAACGCAGACACGGACAAGGTGGAGGCCAGGAAGAGGGCCAAGAACAAACAGCTGGGCCACGAGGAAGGTGAGAGGCCACGCAGCTCCAGCCCTCCCGGGGCGGGGTCTCCACGGGTTATTGGGAAAGCGTCGGGTCTCGTGTGTTTTCCAACAAAGAAAAAAAAAAAACAAAAAAAACAATGCCCAGCGTCACGGTAGCTTCACGTGTGTTGGAGGCGTTCGGGGTGGTATTCCAGAGCCCCTAAAGAAACAGCGTCCCAGGCTCAGGTCCTCAGGGAAGCCCGGGCACAGTGAGCAGGACCTCTCCACGGGCCTCTTGGCCTGGCAGGCTCTTCCCGGAAGAGGGACACGCCCGTGTGGGCAGGGCCAGCCTACCTGTGTGCCCTGCCCAGTCACAGAGGCCTGGACAGGGTTTCATGCCCTGCGTCAGCACCTCGAGACCCCGGGTCTGTGATGGCACTTGAAGAAGGGTCATGTTCCCATCAGGTACCAGCCGCATAGAGTTTGTGACTGGTCCCGGCAGGGGACTGGGCTTGGCATGCCACCTGTCCAGAGAGATAAGCGTGTAAATACATCTGTGGTACAAACCGCATTAAAGAACAGCCAAAGTGTGCCTTTTCGTTTAAAAAAATCAGGTGCCCTGTTAGGATTTCTATAGAAAACGTAACAACGAACATGAATCTGTCGATCATCCTTGATTCACTGAACGTTGTGACTCTTGATTTTTCCAAGATCTCTTTTAGTTGGGCTGTTTGCATGTACTGTAGTTGATGATTGAGGTAAGACACATCTTGTTTGACATTCACGCTGAACCCTAGCTCGACCTTGCAGACATTTAGGAGGTACCGAGGGTGCTTCCCCTCTATGTTAGGGCAGCTGGCTGGAGGCCCCCTGCTGGAGGATCCAATGGTCTCAGTGGACTCCTTCCTTGGGGCATTTATCACCTATTTAGGACAGCCGGCTCCGGCCTTGTGTTCTGGTGACTCTCCTACGTGAATCCACAGGGCTTTGCCTCCACGCCTCAGCTCCACAGGGCCATGGCCTGCTGTATACACTAATCCTTAGAGAGCTGGTTCCTGGGGATCACACTGGGACACCCTCACCATGGCAGGTTTTACCCTAAAAAGTGTACGAACGGTCATTTGGTGGATGGAGGGCCCTAATGGTCCTAGGATCTGGAAAACACCCTTGCCCAGGTGACCTTGTTGAAGTGTATTGTTTGCATCAGAACCATCATCATCTGACAAATCGATGAGTTCATCTTCATACATACATCCTTAGTAATCTGTGACCTTGGTTGGCCACCTCAGAAGTCACCTTCACAGAAAAGCAGAGTCCAGCTTGAGCTCTCTGAACAAATACTGTGTTGGGATTTAGACACTTTCTGAAAACCAAGCGCTGTTTTGCTCAGGGGGGCGGCTGCAGAGACGCCAGCCCTGGCCCTCTGTGCCCTGGTCCTTCCCCACCTGCTCCTGCCCCTCCTGCTGTGGGGACACGGCAGGGGGGTGGCTCCTTTGTCTATTTCTACACCTCTCACTGGACTTAGCTCCCCAGGGCAGGATTTTGTCCTTCCTGTTCCCTAGACATGCCCAGCCCTGGGCCTTTGCCCAATCGTTGTCCGAGGAAGGAGAAGCTCAGCCTGTGAGCCATGTCAGGGTCCCCAGGGCTCCGACCAAGGCTCCAGATTCCCCTGTAAGAGTCCACAGATGGGTGGATGGTCTCTGCACAGCCACACGTTGAGGAAGAAGCTTAGCCCCTGCTCAGGAAGGGACTGCCCATGATTGACTCTGCTGACCTGGGTGACAAAGGCCCCCCTCTAGTGTTACCTGTAGAATGAAAGGAAGAGGAGAGGGACCTTCCCATCCCACAGAGGACAGGGGTGTGGATGCGCTCCTCTTCTCACCACGCACACACACAGCAGGGACAGAGATGGTCTGGGAACACGCTTTGTCCCTTCTGAGCAGTCAATGCACGGGTCTGACTGAAGAGTGTGGAGAAGTGTCATTTAGTGTGTTGGTAGGGACGCCCAAAGAGACGCCTGTCCTTAGACCAGCCGAGGTGTGTTGATGGAGACGCTCCATCTCCTGCCGTCGCCTTCTGCCCTCCCGGAGCGGGTGGCCGGCCCCCGGCTGCGCAGCCACCCCACACTCGCTCGTCTCCCCGCAGATTACGCGCTGGGCAAGGACTGCCTCCTGCACGGCTACATGCTGAAGCTGGGCAACCCGTTCCTCACGCAGTGGCAGCGCCGCTACTTCTACCTCTTTCCCAACAGACTCGAGTGGAGGGGAGAAGGCGAGTCGCGGGTGAGTCGGGAACGGGTCGCGTCTGTGCCCTGCGCTCGCCGCAGGATGAGCTCAGGTCCCCAGTGGGTCTCTGTTGAGAGCCACAGCCAAAGGGGCCCCAGCAAACTTCCAGCTGCCAGCAAACTTCCAGCTGCCGGCTGATGATTGGCTCACAGCGGCCCCAGCAACATCTAGCTGATTGGCTCCTCGGCCCCAGCAACATCTAGCTGATTGGCTCCTCTGCGGTGATGCTCATTGGGCTGTTTCCCTGCCCTTTCAGACCACGGAGCTGCTCATTGGGGGACTTTTTTGGCTCCGCCCACGTGACCCAGCCAATCGGCCTCAAGAGCAGGAGGATTGGGGGAGGTGGAGAGAAGCTTGTGTGGGGGAGAGAGGCTTGTGGAAAGCCGGTGGTGGCAGTGGAGGCTCTGAGGGTTTTTCCTGAGAGGCTATTTTGTTTGGCGTGTGTGGTTCTAAAAATAAAGTTAGTTTCTTTTGACAAGTGGCTCCTGATTGTGCCCAGCCAGACTGCGGCATTTGGTGGCCTGTACTTCCTCCACGAGCCGGGGTCTCGTCCAATCTTGTGCATGAGGCTGGGGCGCCACGCTGTCTCCTCCAGCCCCCCAAGTCCAGCCAAGTCAAGGAAGGGCCTTGCAGTGCCTGAACATGGAAGGTGTCCAGAGGAAACCCAGCGGCAGGGGTGGGGACTGGGCTGTCTCCCCACCCGTGAAGTGGGGGACATGGCAGTTACTTCGCCTGCTGTCAATCTTACCGGTCATCTGAGGCCCGCTGCTGTGCAACAAAGACGTCTCAGTCTGTTAGCAGCTTCTGAAGGTCTGACCGTCCCCTGTGGAGGGGAAACAGGGCTCAGATGGGCACCGTGTGGCCAGGGACGCAGCTGGACAGTGTCAATGGGGGGCGTTCAAACCCACGTCCACACAGGCCTCCCACCTCTCCTCACATCAGATCAAATGAAATGTCACCCACAACACTGGGCACAGAGACGAGGTCACCAGACCACACTCCCTCTTGTCTGCCCCCGGTGGAGTCTGCAGGTGGCCCTCATTTAGGGACAGGAAGATGTGCTGTGCTCTTGGGTTCTCCGTGGAGCTAATGGGCAATGAGTGTAAGAGGAAAAGAAGTCTCTGCTCCACCCTGTACCTGGTGGCAGGTCAGGCAGCATTTATTAAGCACCTCCTGTGTGCTGATGGCCGGGAAAGGAGCCAGCAGTGGGTGAAGGCCTGCCCTCTGCTCCCGGGGAGGGCATGTCTGTCACTGTAAGCCAGAGATGGTCCTGGATGTCAGAAACGTCGTTATGTATTAGGCGATCAGAACACGGCTGCCACCACTCCCTGTGGAGTCGGTGTGGAACACAGTAGGCCCTGATCTTACCCTTCCACTCGGGACGGTGCTTTGGAATCCCTGGGTGGAAGTTGTCATTTAACTATGAATGGCTGGGATTGCATGTAACACATTGTTTTAAAAAAATAAACAGGCTCTCACAGATTTTTGTACCAAAAAAAGCCATTTTTTAAAAAACTAGCATAGCTAGGATCTCATTGACAAGATCTTTGTGGCTGTGAGTCACACACGACACAGGTGCAGTGCAGGTGGAGGTGGCCCCGGAGCTCAGGCCGTCCCCAGGTAAGGGGGCACTGGGCCTTTGTTCATTTACACTGTTGTGCGCATGGGAAGGAAGCTGCCCCGCTTTTCAGGATATTTAAAAAATTAAAGACTCGACTTCCTATGTTCAACCTGAGATGCAGGAGCTGACCTTGGTGTTGAAAGGTCACACCCAGTGCTCTCCTGAGCAGCTGCAGAGCACAGGGCGCGGTTGGTAAGGTCAGAGGAGAAGGGGAACTCAGGAGCTTATGACGCTGTTGTTTCTCATTTAGGATTCCTGGAGTATTTACCCCCAAAATCACAAAATGGTAAGGAACTCACACATAGCCTTTGCCGTGTGCAGCGATGCTGTACACCCAGTGTGACAATCTCTTAAGGCTGTCACCTGTATCTGCAGTGCCATTTCGATAGCATCTGACATCGCCAGGCCTTTCCTGAGTTGCTGTAAGCCCTAGGCCAGGCTTGGGGACTTCCCTCACAGCTTGAAGGATGGCCCCTGAGGCCAGATCAGTTCTGTGGCGGGACGTGCTCCCCTTGGCCTCGTAGAAGCATTGCTTTCTTTGCGGTTTTCTTTGAGACATTATCATTTGGATTTTCCAGCGTGTTCCTTTGTAGCCATTTCCCCTTCCGTTCTAGAACATCATCAAAGAAAGAACAACGCTGCTTCTCTTCTTTCTTTTTTTTGGACTTTTTCTGAGTTCTTGGTATCATCACTTATTCATTTAAGAAATTTAAAAAATCACTGGGAAGTAACTTTTATTTATTTCGTTTGTTTTTATGGTTAGCAAAATCTACTGACCATGGAACAAATCCTCTCTGTGGAAGAAACTCAGATTAAAGACAAAAAGTGCATTTTGTTCAGAATAAAAGGAGGGAAACAGTTTGTCCTGCAGTGTGAGGTGAGTGCGGCTCCTTGTCTCTCGGGTGAAGGTTGAGCCACCGCTTGACACCAGCACCGCTGGCCGCCCGGCACCAGGGTGCCCCACGGGGTCCTGCGGCCCTTACAAACTCAGCCAGGTGTCCACCACATCAACAGGTAGTTCAAAAAAGAAAATATGTGAAAACAGAAGGAGGAAATACCTGAATTTGGTGACCTTATGTGGAAACCCCCCAGCACTCCGAGGGGGTGGAGTTTTATGGGACCTGAGGTTCTAGGTCTGACCTGCCAGCACGTTTGAGGTTGAAGTTCACACGTTTAAACAAACGGAAGAGACCAATCAGACTTCTCTAAGGGGCGATGCTCTTTTCCCTCCAGTTGTAGAGCCCAGGTTTCATTCCTGAACACTGTTTGCTCTGGTGCACGGTGTGTGTTGGGGGTTGGGGGCTCCAGAGCGTGTTCCGGGAGATAAACAAGGAGTGGACCCCAAGACGCACCTTAATCACCTCAATGCTAATTTTCGCCCGTGAAGGGGCGCGTTGGCCTGCGGGGCTCCTCCCTCCTGTGCCCACCACAGTTGTTGAACTGAAGCCGTTTGCTCTGCTGGGGCTGCTCCAGGAGGCTGGCCTCCCCTCTCGCTGCTAGAGGCTCTGGATGAGGGTCGTAGGCCCAGTGTCTGGAGAGGTGGCTGCAGGGTAGGCACCGAGGGGTATGCCCCTGAGGCTCCAGGTCACCTCCAGAGGCTGTGGGCAGGGTGGGTGGACCTGTCCCAGCCCGTCTTCCTGTCTCCCTGCAGAGCGACCCCGAGTTCGCGCAGTGGAAGAAGGAGCTGACCGAGACCTTCACCGAGGCCCAGCGGCTGCTGCGCCGCGCGCCCAAGTTCCTCAACAGGCCTCGGGCCAGCCTGGTGGAGCTCTCCAAGCCCCCGCTGTGCCACCGAAGCAGCAATGGCCTGTAGCGCGAGAGCGGGAGAGACGAGGGCCTCCGGGAGGCCACACCGGGCTCTCCACGTGGGGCGGAGCCTGGGGTCGGTGCGGACGTGCCAGGCTGTGGCGGAGGTGCCGGGCACTGGAACCTTTCATCCGCTGCCAGGAGGCCCCGGGCGGGCGCCAGATGCCCCCAAAGGGAGTTGGACCTCTCCAGGCGCGGCCGACCCTGCGCCACCAAGTGGTGCTGGCCCGCACTGGAGACTACTGAGGACACAAGCTCCTTTTCTTTGCTAGACACTTATTTTGGTACCTCCAAGCTGGAATTGAAACATCCCTACTGGGCACTTAATTTTTCAGTCTGATGTCAGACATCTCAGACTTCCCCAGGGGCCCTGGAGGTCCACAGTGCTGGGTGCCGGGTGCCCTGCGGTGGCCGGGCTCTGCTGTCGCAGATGCTGGCTCCAATGTCCCAGGGCCGGGGTAGGGGGCTGCGGAGCGCGTCCCTGCGCACTGGAGAATCGGCGCCTGATGGGCAGGTGGGGGTGGCAAATGGGGTTCACTTGCCAGCCCCCCCCCAGAGTCCCTGGTGTTCCCAGGGAGAGTAGTGAGGTGACAGACTGGGGACCAGGGCAGCAGTGGGACACCTCTGGGTGCCCAGGTCACAAGCACCCTGGCTACAGCTGGCTTGGAGTCCACCCTGAGCCCCTGTAGAACACCGTGGTTCTGGAACCTTCTGCCTGACCCTGAGAAGCGGTCAGCTGTGATGTGTAGGAGGAGGAAGGGAATCTGGCTGCTTCACCTTGAGCGTAATTTGAGATGATTTTTATTTGAAAAACAAAAGCTGAGGAACAAGTATGGGAGGTGGCCGTGTGGGGACTCTCTTGTCCCATGGTGGTGGGTCCCTCTGCACTGGCCTCTCTGGGGAGGGGCCCTCCGTCCAGCAGAAAGGACCCAGCGCCTCCTCCCCAGTGTTTGTCCCCACTCCTCCATGCCTGTTGACGCCCCTATTAAATGCTGGGTGACAGAACCAGCAAAGTCCCCCAGGCCATCAGGCTAAAAAGTCCTTTCCAAAGTCTACACATTCATCCAGTTCCTGGTGTAGTTTTACTGTATGTCTTAAATTAATTACTAACAATATAAATAACTTGTCGTCTTGATCACTTGTATCCTGTCCTTGATATTTTTAGTGGTTCCAAACCTTTGTTTTTACCTTTCTGTGCCACAGTCCCTGGGAAGGTCAGGGCTTCCTATCACGAGGTCATTTTGGGAGCGGAGTAGATCACCTTCTGGAAGGTCTGCTCTGCGCCTGGGTGACCGTGGGCCAGCAGTTTGGGGTTTTTATCCACCTGGGCTCCGGGCCGGGGTTTCAGGTAGCACAGGTGGCTGTCTGCTGCTGCCAGGGCGGAGGAGGGCGCCACACCCCCCACCGCCCTCCCTTGAGAGGGTAGAAGAGCCCTGGATTCTGTTTAAAATGCACACGTTCCACACTGCCCAAATGGAGGCTCAGCGGTCGTCCCGAGGGGGAGGGCGTCCTCCCAGCCCCGCTGGCTGCAGCTGGCCTGGATGCGGAGCTCCCGGGCCCACCTCCTCCA